CATATTACTCCGGAATAGCTCTTTCTCATGATACAGGCAAAGGTCGAATATTTTTGGGACATACCTCGTATATATATAAATCACGTTCGATAATAAGAGCTACATGCACTGGTGCGAAATGACTGACATTAATGTCTTAATGCACGTTGAAATTCAAACGAGAGCGTAGAGGAAGACGAACGATTGCATTCCACGATTGTCCTAGTTGCATTCAGTTTGAAAACTGCGATTTGATGAAATTGCTATTGCGATAACTCAATTAAACTTGTATTGTAAATTATTAACATTACATAAATATATTTAATATAAATAATATTTTTTTAAATTTATTATAATAGATAAAGAACTACATGTATATTTTAATTAATTAACAGAATTATTAAGAGGTTTTATTTTAAATGAACGCGCGCGCGCGCGCGCGTGTGTGTGTATGCATATAGAAATATATACACAGAATATTTCATGACTTTCGAGATCCATATATTAAGGGCGTGTTAATGAAGTTATTTAGAGTTGAAATTATTTAATAAACATATGTCCGTAAATGTTTTCTAAAACTACAACCATTTGAAAGTTGTAAATATTCGAAATATTTTCGGTAAAAGTGCTTCGATAAAAGGTTACACAGCACCGATTTTATCGCCGCTTGAATATGTTATAGAGGAAGTTGTCCTGAATAATTCCCTGCAAAAAATAAGTGGGGGACGGCGTTAGTTTAGAAAATATAACAAATTAAATTTGACAATTTTAACACTTTTCTTAGGCATTATATAGATTATTATTAAGAACGTTGTATATGTATATGAGGTTTGTTTACATTGTAGTGATCTATTTAACATCTTCTATAGCTTCACATATACACTTTCACTTATTTCTCACAGTTCACTAACAGCTTTCAACATGCGACTATACGAATTCTTAAGTATTGTTGAAGAAAAATAAATTAAAAATAAATTAATAGATTTTTTTGTTAAACAACAAATTATTCAATTGGAATCGTACAATAATAGATTTTGTTTCGCACTAATTTAGAGGTGGTGTGGATAAACCTCGCTTTGCATGGCAAATTGCAAACCTATGTGGAAGCGTACAATAATAGACCTCGTTTCGCACTGACTCAGACTATGTGAAATCGTACAATAATAAATCCCTATTGTACAGTTCCACATAGGTTTGCAACTTTCCACGTGAAGCGAGGTCCATCCCACACCATCTCTGAGTCAGTGCAAAGCGAGGTCTATTATTGTACGCTTCCACATAGGTTTGTAACTTTCTACGCGAAGCGAGGTCTACCCCACATCATCTATGAGTCATTGTGTTCGTTTTACTAAGTACATGCTAAGTAGACACAGTAGGTTCTGCCCCCCTGCGAGGGGCTTCCAAAAGATATAACCTAAAGATATAATCAAAAGATATAAACCAAACCTATTTCTAACTTACAATTAAAATTTGATTTAAATCAGAAATAGGCTTGGGTTATATCTTTCGGAAGTGAAGCCCCGCAGGAGGGTGGAACCCACTGTGTCCACGCATATACATACTGTAAAAGATGTCAAATAGATTAAGATGTAAATGAACCTTATATACATATACAATGTTCTCAATATCGAGCAACAGTTTATATAATGCGTAAGAAAAGCGTTAAATTTGTCAAACTTTAACTTGTTATATCTTATAAACTAATGCCGTCTTCTACTTATTTTCTGCGGGAAATTGTTCAAGACAACGTCCTCTATAACATATCCAAGCAGCGATAAAATCGATACTGTGTAATCTTTTATGCACTTTTACCATATTTTCTATCAATCATTTAGTCAATAATTTATGCAAAACAATCTCGCAATAGGGGTGAACTTGTGAACAGAATTATGAATGCATATTTTAGCATATTTTAAGAAATTCTCCTAGCATGATGGAACGAGCTGATAGATTACTTTTACTCAGGGTAAGATTTTATGTTAATCTACAAGAGATAATTTTGAACAGAATTTGTAAATATACATTTGTAAATATTTACAAGTTAAATTAAAAATTTTTTCTTTTTTCTTTTCTTTTTCAAATATTCACATCAACTTTCAATTGTTGTAGTTCTGTTAGGAAGCATTTATGAACATATGTTTGTTAAGTAATTTCAACTGAAGTCTTCAATAATACATCCTTAATGTGTGGATCTGAAATCATGGAATACTTTATAAATAAATAAATAAATATATGAATAAATATATATATATATATATATATATATACATATGTATATATTTACAAATGTATATTTACAAATTCTGTTCAAAATTATCTCCTGTAGATTTAACAAAATCTTATCCTGCGTAAAAGTAATCTAACAGCTCGTTCCATCATGCCAGGAGAATTTCTTAGAATATATGTTGCCACAATCATAATATTGTTCACAAGTTCATCCCTATTGGGAGATTGTTCTGCATACACACACACACACACACACATACATACATATATATATATATATATATATACACACTATTATATATATATATATATATATATATATATATACTACATATATATATATATACAATATTAACATATTTATTAGATTTATTTTACACGCAAATATATATATATATATATATATATATATATATATCCCTAACAGCACACATGTCCGAAAGATGTCCAAAGGACATCCATAGAATATCCCGATCTTCTATGGATATCCTATGGATATCCTTTGGATATCTTTCGGACATGTGTGCTGTTAGGGATATATATATATATATATATATATATATATATATATATTTGCGTGTAAAATAAATCTAATAAATATGTTAATTATATAAAATATATAAATATATAATAAAAATACATTATTGTTTTTTTTAATGCGTTTGTGTACAATTAATAATGTCCAATTAAAATTTCCTTATTTGATGTATTGAAAACTCGATTTCTTTATGAAGCTTTTATGAATATGATAAAATATTGTGATATATATTCTCCTGTAATAGTTTATAACATTTTAATAACTGCCAGATATCTGTAGACTTCGCTTAAGATTATGCAATGAGTATCAATTCAAACATTTATTAAAAACTTTCCGCTATATTTGTTATTTCATAAAAAAATCGAATATTTGCAACGTATTGCAATTAATCCATCGTATTCATTATAAATCGTATGTAATATATGTTTACGCAGTGTGACAGTTTCGACATGCACTTTAAAGTGTTCATGAATTGTGCGCAATCTTAATATTAGATGTAATCCTTATTATTGTACATAATATGCGTATTTCAATCAATGTCCTTCATTGAGATCCTCAATCAATCTTGAATATTTGCATGACACTAACAGAATCGTAAAATTTTTAAATTAGTTTTGATATCAGTTATGATAGCAATTGGCTACTTTAAAAAGTTCATGATAATATATCGAACGTAAAAAATATTAAAAATCCTGAATAATTTTTTTCTTATTCAGATTAATGGAACAGTATATAATAATAAACCACATTTGGCTTGCAGCTAATTAGAAAAAGGATATTGATAAAATAATATCTAGCATTTTAATCTCTCCTATTTATTTTTCCGGAATATATGCAATGCAATATAATCAAATATATACAATATATTAATTGTGATTGAAAAAAAACGACAGTTATTATGTCTAATAATTAATTGTGTATTATTCTAATAATTAATTAATTGTATATTATTCAGTGATAAATACACATGAAAAGTGTACTTTACTTTGTTTAGAAAACATAATTCTTATAATATATCACCTAATTTTGGCATTATGATTATTTAAGATAATAAAAATAATACATGATTCATATTATTTAAGAAAAAATATTAAAAAACATTACAAAAATAATTAACGAGTTATTTATCATTTTGAAGATTATATTGGATATATTAATATATAATCCAATATAATGTGTTATTACTGTGATATTTTTCTTGTAGCATTTTGAAAAAAAAACTTCTATCATTTTACCATTTAAAAAATATTTTAGTACAAACAAGATTCTAATTTATTATTAAGTTTTCGAGACTCGTTAATTTTTCACTCTAAATACTGTAACAATACTCATCTTCAATTTAATATCAACTAAACTAAAATTTAATTAATGTTTTATTTAAATATACATAATACATATATACTTAATTTGCTTAAAATCTTTAATTTCTTATGTTATTTTTATAATTAAATATATTCCAATTTTTGTAATGTTAATAGAAATCAGCTGCGAATTTGAGGAACGAATTATATTACAATATTTTTCGATATTGTCGGATTGACCGAAATATTTTTAAGTCTTTTGTAAAGCATGAAATAACGAGAAATGACAAATTTGTACAATTACAATTAGTTACGGGCAACACATTTCAACTTGTTAATTAAAGTAGCAATCTTGCACTGCTTCGAATAATAATTTTGCATTAATTTTTTTTATGCAACAATATATCAAAAGTTAACTCTTTATCAAAATTAAACGCTATTTTTAAAAGAGAAAAAATAATTCAAAAACAAAAAACTTATCTGATTTCAAAGAAAACTGCACTTTTCTATGCTATTAAAATATTAGGCCAAACTGTTTTGTCAATGAATTTAAAGTATTTAATAAATTATTATCTTGAAAAATGAAATATAGAAAAAAGTAATAAATCCAACTTAAAATATAAAAAATATTTTTTTGCAAAAGCATGACATAAATAGCACGTATCAAGCTTTTCCACTTCGACAACCGAGAAATGTGGGAGGAATAAACAAGCCTGTACAATACTATTGTTGGCAAGCGAAATGTCAACAATTGAGATTGCTTCTTCGTTATCACGATGCCAATATTAATGATGTTGCAATAGTAAACATCGCAACTTCTAAAGATACATTTATATTCTTTCTCTCTTACAATATTGTCAAAAAATTGGAAAGTTTAATTTATTTTCCTATTTGTTCGTATAAAAATAAATACAATCTTTTCATAAATAACATGATTCGTTTCCTCTATATTTCAGAAAAGTCGATACAAGCCCAGACCACACATTGGATTCTACATTCAGTAATCAAAGGTAATGTTATAAAATGTCGATAATAACCAGAATCAATAATGAATATTGTAATCGTATATATACATATAAACACATTTTTATATTACAACTTTTTTATATTACATTTTAGTATCATTAAAGAAAAATAAAATATTAAAAAATATTAAAAAATATTTTAGCACATATGTATTTAAGATATAAGATTTATATGCTTTATATAATTTATAAATAGTTTCAAAATTTGTATTATAATTTCAACATTTAATTTTATTTCTTAAATATATATATATATATATATATATATATATATATATATATATATTAGAAAATATATATAAATTATTCCTCTATCTTACATAATTTGAATTTCATGTTTTAACATATATTATATCGTATCAGTATGACGGAAATAATTACTATGAATAATAAAGGACACAGACATCCAAATTCACAATTAATTAATTTTTCAAATTCATAATGTTGAGATCCATTAAAACTCATTATAATCATTTGTATCGTTTATAGTTTTAATACAACGTCAACTCTAGTAAAAAAATAGTGTGACTCAAATTATGTGCTTATGTATCATATTTATACGGTATCAAGATGCTAGAAAATTGAATAATTAAAATCGTAAGAAAACCTTGACTCAATTAATCTGCATGAATTCATAATCAACTCGAGGAGAAAAGAAAAAAAGTATTATTGAATTTCTATAGTTGAAGAAAATAATTCGTAGAAAAAAGTCCAGAGAAACGATATTTATACAATAAATTTATACTGTGGCAAAGTAAGAAAATTTCTTAAAGTAAATTCGTTTATTACATTAATAAAAATAGCATAAAATAATAAAGTAGTTCAAATTTTGAATGCAAAAAGATATCAATGAAAATATTAGATTTTATATATATATATATATATATATATATATATATATATACAGGATGTACCAAAATTCGCACATGTGAAATGCACAGCGTGATTGTTCGTAATTGTTGTTCCTAAACACGTTGTTGTTCCTAAAACAAACAACTTTTTCCATTGGGAAAATTGCGTCTGAGCATTACTTTTTAAATGAGAGCAACTTTAAGCTAACGAATAAGCGCTTTAGATTACGCTTGTATCAGCGTCGGCGCGCGCGCGGCATATGTGGCGTTTGAGCGTGTACGCTATTTTACTATTTCACTAAAGGTTTTACATGAATTATGCATTTATATATCGCTATTTTCAATACAACTTACTTAATAAGAGAAGATAACAATATAAATCAATATAAATTAATTAAAGAAATTAATCATTAAATTTAAATGTTGGACTATAATAATTAAAATTAATAATTAGAATATGTTCTAATTTTTTAAATATATATTTAATTAGAATATGTGCCAATTTTATTAACAGCGCCAAGTTTTTTCAATTAAGTTTTTTTTTACTTTTTTGTTTTATATTAATTTATACAAGTTAACTTGTACAAGTTTTCTTCCTTGTACTTTTATTTATCTTGTACAAATTTTTATCCTTAATTAGCGCAATTTTTAAATATATCACTATTTTTGTAGACAAGACAACAGTTAGATACAATTTGTACATGAATTTGGTGCCCTTTTTTACCTTTTTTTTAAAAAGGTAAGTTTTGGGAATAATCTCAATAGGATACGATTAATTCATTATAAATTCTGCTGTAGCATAGCGTAAATATCTTTCAACTATTTTTCTGATATATATACATATTATATTAAGTAAAGTTTTGATTAATACGCATAGTGTTTCTCAATCTCGTTTAATTTAAAAATGCAGCTTCTCTCGGGAAGAAACGTAATCCAACTGAGGTAGTGAATTCTTAGAGTTTAATTAAAGCTTTACGCTTATATTTTGAGATACATTCTATTGACATTAATTAATATTTACATTAAATGACATTTTTATTAGAAAAAAATAATAATACTTGATAAAGTAAATTGATATTTGTCATATATTGATGTATCATATAATATATATATATATATATATATATATATATATATATATATTCAGTGTACATTGCAAGTATTAATATATTGATTATTAATTTTTGAATTCTATCTGCTAATATCTCAATCAATAATAACAGAAATTATAATTACTATTCTAATAATATTAAATTCTTAACTTTTTCAAATAAATTTTTTTCAATATTTTTATTGTATATGTTAAAAGAAAATTGTTGTATTAAGAAAGAATTATCAAAAACTAAAATATGATAACAATTTAAGAAACATATGATATAGAATACACGAGTCACTTTTACTTAGATTTTACTTTGGGCTCAATAATAAATTAGCAAAAATGCATTACATCAATCACTGCAGCCATTTTCGAACGCACATTGATGCAATATTTTGATGCGATGTAATGGCGTTGAAATTTAACTCTTATCAATTAGTCGTAATGATGTTCGAGGTAAATGTTTTAACTAATCTTTATGAACTTTTTAACTGAAATATTAAATAACTGTTATTAAATTTATTATGGCTAATTTTATTACAAATGTCATCCGATGAATATAATTAAGTAATTTAAATACATTTATAAATATATTTAAATATATTTATAAAGCAAATGGATACAATTACGGACGAATAATTTCCAAAGAATATAGAAATCATTTATTTTAACTACAGTTTACAGACGATTATTTAAATAAATTAGTTCATAATCAATAATTCCAGTTAATTGTCGCGTATTAAACAATAGATAATGAGATAATAGAATTGTAATATCATTTCGTGAAAAAGCTCTAGGATCAAATACAAGTATAATAACTTGATTAGTAATAATGCAATCGACTGCATTTCAATAAATATTTGCCTAATATATCCAAACGATGACATTTGATGCACGTTATTATAAATAAATGCAATCGGTATAATCGAATATAACAGACAAAATCCCGAAAATGATAGTACACTTAATAAACAATAAATGAAATACAATAAATCTTTATATATATATATATATATATATATATATATATATATATATATATATACAGGGTGTCCCAGACCACTCGTTCACCCCTTTTAAAATAAAAATAAATGACTTTTATAAAAAATCGCGAACAATTTTTAAGTAAATCGGGTACGCTCTATCAAATGGTGAATATTTTCAATTTTTTATTCCGACCGGAAATACGCCATCCGGATCGGAAGTTGAATTTTTTTAGGGGAACATGGTACTTTTTATTACAGATTCGAATATATACATATATATATATATATATATATATGCATGCACACTATATATATATACTTGAATATTTAAGTTCCAAATCCAATTAAAAAATTTGTAACATAATTACATTCTATTCTCAAAAGATTAAAATTTTTATTTTTTTTAAATTAAATGAAATAAATACAAATTCTATTATTCTATAAAATACTATTCGGATCTGATATCTAGATATGCTCTTTAAGTGCATTTTTCCCTAATATGAAACATTTTCTGACCTACAGAGTGTACAAGAAATCATCACCGAATAATAAATTGATACTTTACCTAGCTAGTAGGGATCTTATTGTCAGCGAAGCCAAAATCGACAAGCTTCAAGGTGTTCTTCTGATTGATCCTGATTACTTACAGGAAAAAAGGGTAAGACACAAAATAATTTAAACAGTTATTATTTAATATTTATCTTTAAAAAAATTTATTTTTATTGCAATTGCTAGAACGTATAATCAAGAGTCGTTTATTGTGCATCACCGCGTAATTTGTCCGAATAATGTCCAAATAATGTCCGATATAATGTTATCTTGTTAAAAGCCTTCAGATGTCTTCTATCGCAAGATGACATTAATTTATCATTCGTAATTGTGATTGATTCTTAGTAAATTATGTGACAAATTTCAGCAACAAAAATTGTTTTTAAAACTATAAAACATTCTTATAAGAAATCTGGATGTTTTTGAAGAGATTAACCGTTAGAGTACACGAAAAAAAAATATATATATATATATTTTTTCTCGTGTACTTTAACGATTAATCTCTCCTTATATATATATATATATATATATATATATATATATATATATAAAATTCTAAAACACTCTGTATATAAAGCACACGAAAAAAAATATATATATATATATTTCTTTTCGTGTACTCTAACGATTAACCTCTTTTTATATATATGTATATATATATATATATATATATATATATAATATTTTTTTTTTCGTGTGCTCTATATACAGGGTGTTTTAGAATTCGCGGATACAGACTCCACAGCGTGATTATTCGTATCAAAACAAACAACTTTTTCACGAAACATAATCCTGTTTATCTCGACCAATGCGATATATCAATATCAACATTTACATCGATTTCCTAATATTTATTTAGTTATTAGATACTTTTTTTATATTAGGTACTTTTTATATAATATATAACATATATTTAGATAAATATGTGTATACGCACATACATAAAATTCTTAATGTATTCAATTTTATACAATGCATAGTATAATTTCATTTATCTCTTTAAAATAAATCAAAATATATTTTTGTATTATAATCTATATATAATCCACTATGTCATTATAGATCACATTACAAATACACATTAAATATAAATTAAATTATAATTTTTATAGGTGTTTGGTCAAGTTACACTAACTTTCCGTTACGGAAGAGAAGACGAAGAAGTAATGGGCTTAAAATTTTGTAATGAAGCAGTCATGTGTTTGGCACAATTATATCCACCATATGTAGGATCTGATCAAGAAAGCATAACACCATTACAGGTTGGTAAGCAAAATACTATAATTAAATTGGAAATATTGATATTATTAACTAAATTAATATATCCAGGATACTTCATAAAAATTGTGCTTCTATTAATTATTATTAATTTTATTATTTCTATACAAATAACAAATTTTATTAAATTCACATTGATGCATTTCATAAAATCGCGCGTGTTTAGATTTGATGAAATAAATATATTGATAAACCTACAAATGCTTCTCTATAAAGTTAGAACTTTATTTTTCAAAATTCTATTTCCAAATATTTGAAAAATCAGCTAAAATTGATGTAATTATTTTTATCAATTTATGATATTTATATTAATCTGACAATGCGATTTGACTCTACATTTTTGCTTCTTTATAAAAATAGGCTTATTGTTAGAAAATATTTATATTTATTTTAAATATATATATATATATATAGGATGTCTGGAAAGGTAAGTTCAATCGAATAGAATGTGAAAAAGGAGCAGCGTAGAACACATAACGTAAATAAATTTTTTTCATATTCGCTATGGTTTAGAAAATACAGCGCTTTATAGAGGTGCATAAAAAGTGTTGAAACCTCTTAATAATATTTCGAAAAGTACGCATTTTTGAGAAAAATGTTTCATACAAAAATTGTAGGGTTCTAAATGAAGCATTACACACAAAAATTAGTATGACCTTAGAATAGTGTTTTCGAATTTAACATTCACGAAAGGCTAACACTCAAATAAATTACGCGAGCGTATTATAATAAAGTATAACAAATTTATTTTAAACGAAATAAGAAAATTAACAAAATACAAAAAAATAATAGTAACATAAAATATAGAATATTTGAAGTAAATGAAGAATTAACAATTGTATCCTTTTTCCTCAGGAGGACACTCCTATTTAGGTTCTACTGCCTTATAAGCAGTCTATGTTAATGTTATGTACACAACACATAGAAAGAGAAAATGTATGTTTCCTACTGTCGACAGAAGATTACGCTAGTGACGCTTTGCGATATTAATGACATGTGTGACATTAGTGACATGTATCATTAATCGCATTTTGAGTAGTGATAAGTAATAAAATGCAAGTTAAATAATAAATAATTAAGTCTCATCATTTAATTTACATCTGATTAAACATTTAAAATTAATATAATTAAACAATGAAACAAATATCTTAATTCTATCTCTTAATAATAATACATTAAATGAGAAAGTAACAAAATAAATTCTTTAGTATAAAATTTCTCTTTAAAAGATCTGATCTTGTTTCGCGCAGTAAAATAATTATTAGCATGTATTTTTATTACAACTTGTAATTAATAAACTACAAGCAAAATTGAGAATACAGAATTCAAATATTCAATGAAAGATTCAATAAGTCCGTGAATGCACAATAAAAAAATTCTGCATTTAATAGCTTATAAAATTTTCAAGCATAAATATAGATTATATATTCCTGTTTTTCATATTTTTTTCTCTCTGTATGATTTTCATATTTATTTTCAATGAATTAAAAAATAAAATAATAAAGAAAAAGTCTGATTCGAATCACAGTTAACATTGTGGTATTATACATTGATACATATGCAATATATGTTTTGCAATGTAAATATGAATTAAAAGAGAGGTAATATTTCGCGCAGCAGCAGCGGGACAAATAATGTATGCGAATCATCCAGTAACAAGGATCTTAAATCATCAAATCTCAAAGTTGGGCCGATCGAGTTTTTATTAAGCTTAATCGACAGCTCAAATTTGAATGTAAGAGTTTTTATTATTATTCTATGTATTATAAAGAATGAAGATTTTATAATGCAAAATCTTAATGTGTGAAAATTTCCATATAAAAATCATGAGAAAATTGACACAAATGGTAATTAAAAGTAGTAATTAAAAGTAATTATATTTAATGTAATAAAATGGCATTGCTATAAGGAATAATTTTCATGTATTTTAAATTGTATTTTAATTTGCATTTTAATGTTTTAATATCTAGCAATATATTAACAATAATCTTTTAAAAGTTAAAAAAAGAAATAAAAAAATTTTTAATTGATATCACATGAATCTTTTACTTAATCAATTTTAATTGTTTAAAATATTTTTCTGTATAATAATTTTTTGTGACGAGTGAACTTTACATCTTTTCTATCTTTTTTTTAAATGTACATTGACGCAACATAAATTGAATTAAGTTACCATTTTCTCAATACAAATATTTTCGACAAAATTATTATATTTAATCTATCACAAACAAAAACAGAATTGAAAGTTTTAGAAATATTAAATATGCACTACGTAAACTATCATGCAAAGTATTAAAAATTGGATATTTCTTAATTTCAAATTATATATATTTATGAAAAAAATACGGTATTATTTGTTGTATGTGTACATCTCAAGTACACACACAATATCAATTATATACATATATAGGAAAAAAGATATACATATGTATCCCCTTCCCCATGCATATACAATATACACACACGCACGCGCGCACATACACACACACATAAATGTGTACAAGTATATAAATGTATAAAATATATGTAAAATATATATATGTATAAAATATGAAATAATGGATACATAATGTGTGTGTAATGTATTATACATGTTAGTATATATTTCTTTATATATATTCTTGAATGCACAAACATGAATTTATACATATGCATATGAACTTACGTGTCACACTATGTATCCATTATTTCATATTTTGTACACGTCTATATATAGATGTATTATTGTTTATATGAATGGGGGAGAGAGTATGTATGAATCTACATACTCTCTCCCCCCATTCATATAAACAATAATACGTCTATATATAGACATGTACAAAATATGAAATATGAAATAATGGATACATAGTGTGACACGTAAGTTCATATGCATATGTATAAATTCATGTTTACGAGATTTGTCTCAGAAGTAATGAGAATGAATGAAGTAATGAGAATGATTTTTTTAATCTTTATATGGCAACACTACATCAGTGAGGTGGAAACTAATAAGTTGAGCAACATATTAGGTAAGCAGTTGCAATAGGTTGCTCCGATCGATGCAGTGTTACTGTTATTGTGTACAGGCTTATGAACTTGTGTTTATAAATAGTGTGTTACGCGAAAAATGCAGGCAAATATCAATTAACGTTACGCCATCAAATTTTGCGTTAAACTCGAGAAAACTGCTTCAGAGACGCTTGAAATGTTACGAGGAATATGAGGATGATGCTTTGTCCTCAATACAAGTTTTTAGATGGCAGAAGGCTTTCAAAAATGGCAGAGAAGATGTTGTGGATGAACACTGCTCTAATCGGCCATCGACATCAAAATCTGATGAAAACGTGTCCAAGGTTCAGTATTAGCCAAAGACAGATGGTTAACAAAATTTGATGGTGTAACGTTGATCGATATTTGCCTGTATTTTTCGCGTGACGCGCTATCTAAACACAATTTCAAAAACTTGTACACAGCAACACTGCATCGATCGAAGCGACCTATTGCAGCTACTTACCTAATATCTCTATTTATTAGTTCTCACTACACTGATGCAGTATTGCCAAATAAAAATTAAAAAATTCATTCTCATTATTTCTGAGACAAACCTCGTATATTACACATATATAAATATTTAATATATTTTTAAGTGTAAAAAAACCTTCCTTATATCATTAGTCATATATAGTTACGAAGGTAACGTTCTAAAATCAATAGCGTCGAAATCCTTTTTTATCCTCATCGAGAGTTGTCTATTTTTTATCAGAATGCTTTAAAACATATCAAAAATTCAGCCATTTCGATGGAAATTTTTCATTGAATTAGTGCGGAGTCCTTTATCTTAAATCCAATTTTTACAAACTAATCCAATTGTAATAAATGTAATATACTGCATTATCATTTAATTAATCAAAGTAAATCAAAGTTTATTCATTATTCTTATGTGTACAATAAACTAATAAGATTACAAAATATTTTACTTAAATAATTGTATATAATATATATTTGTAAATAGAGAGAGTAAAATAGAAGTGTATATATATATATATATATATATATATTATATGTGCATATTATAATTCGTATTTTTTGCGTTTTCATTTTTCTTTAAAACAATTCACGATTATACTGTTATGTGAAAGTAAGTTATGATAAAATTGCATATTATCGATCAATACTAAAACTGACAGAAAGAGCTTTCGAGAAAGTGGAAAATATAGTTAACCCTGACCAAGGAAAATCTGAAATCCTCAGCAAAATCTTAAATACGCAGCAAAACTGTTCTCGCGGAAATATGCCCTTGACCCTGACCTAACGAAAAAGTTCTCACAAGTCTTTCCGTGGTAATTATTTATTGTATCCTTCTTACGCAAGCATTAATAGTGAATATAATTCTAAAAGACAATATATGCTTTATATGTTATTATATATATATGCTTTATATTTAATACGTGCAATATACAAGATAACTTTCGAAGATCGATTCAAAAATAAACGCGACTCGCGCAGAAATGTCTCACTCGACATGCATTTCAAGCGTTTTTCAGATAAATGTCGAAAATATATGATTGTATTCAATACCTAATGTAAAACGATACATCAGGAGATTACAATAAAATTTTAAAGAACAATCACACCATCGATTATGGAGAACGAATATACAGCATTAAATATGCGAAAATGTAAAAAGTAATGCTGATAAAAATTATTTGTTTCGCCAAATATATAAAATTTTAGGGAAAAATATTTCGATTTATATTGAATGTTAACGCGCCACGTGTATAGCATTACATTCTTCTCCATGACAGCCAATTTAGACCAAATATATAAATTGCAATTAACCTTATTTTAAAACAGAATAAAATATTTTCAAAAAACACAATTAATATATCTTCTTTTTTTTTTACGTCGAAAAATTTCTTTGTTAAAATTTCTTTGTTAAAAAATCTCTTTGTTAATCTAATTATGCAAAATGCAAAATAAAAAAACTATACACATACATCCTATAATATAATAATAAGAATTAATAAATATTTGTATACATTTATGCGCGCTCGTACAGAATCAAAAATTCTAATTTTACCGTTAAGTATTTTCAAATTATTTTCGGTCAATTTCCTATATTTTTTTAAATTTATATTATATCATAATTTATAACTTTATTAAAATATTAATGGAATATGTTTAATTAATTGGAATATATATATATATATATATATATATATATATTTTTTTTTTTCTTTTTAAATAAATTTGTTATATTTCTCTATACTATGTCTGCGTAAATTATTTGAGTGTCGGCCTTTCGTGAATGTTAGATTCTGTCGTGCTCGAATTCTCCATTTTCGTGAAGCCTCATATAAAATAATTATAACATCCTTTTCCATAGACCCTGCCCCTCTATCGTTAGATGAGCTAGTCAGCCCGTGGCGAATAAGGCAAGAGTTTGTCGCGTTATTTTATCATTTCGCGAATTGATACGTGAAAGACCTGGCGGCCAATTTTGAGATTTCGATACGGCCTTCACCGCGGCTCGCGCGGAACACGCTTCGTCTCTGTTCCTCCGAGCGCGAGTATTCTTTTCTTGTGTTTTGATGATGTTTCGCTCCCTCTCATCCTTTCTATCAACACCCCGAGGATTAGAAAATTAACGTCGCAATATATATATATATATATAAAATTTGTTCAATTAACCGCAAGTAATTAAATGATAATTACTCGATTTTGATAATATTTTGAGTAGAAATAATATTTAGAATAGCATATTTAGTAGTATGCGTTTGTAAATATAAATCAGCTTTCTCAAATATTCACTCATCAGAAACGAATAAGAGCGACAATGCATTTATGAAAATTGTGTTATGATATTTAACATAAATTTTATAAAATTTCTATCAATAAATATCAAAGTGTAGTAATATTTGTTTTTCTATATATACGAGGGCTGTATGTGTTTAATGACTGATAGCACCACTGACTCAAAATCTGTATACCATCATTTAATGCCATCTTTCAAACGTCGCCTGTCAAAATTTTAGATAGATTTATCGAGTAGTTTTGTTTTGATAGCTGTTGAAAGTAGGCAAGTTTGTATTTGTTTGTAACTATGAAAAAAGAGTAATATGGTCAATGATTCGATTCCTTTTTTTGGATGGGAAGACGTGTGAGGAAATCAAAATGAAGTTGCATGCTGTTTATAAGGACCATGCACATTCAATGACTACTTTTAGATATTGATTCAATGAATTCAAGCATGGCCGAATATTTGTTTTTATTGAAGAACGTTCAGGCCGTCCGATTGAAGTGACTATGGAGAATGTGGTCAACAAAATCCATGATATCGTGTTAGCAGACTGCCGGATGAAGATCAGAAAGATTGCTGACATTGTAAACATCTCAATTGAAAGCGTACAAAATATCCCACTCGAAAAATTGGGCATAAGAAAGCTATCAGCGAGATGGATGCTGTGTTTGCTCACAGTGGAACAAAAACGAAATCGCATGACAATTTCGGAGCACTGTTTGGACATGTTTAAACGCAAGAAAAGAGTTTCTGCGGCGTTTCATAACTGTTGACAAAACATGGATTCATCAATACACGCCAGAAATGAAAAAACAGTCAAATCAGTGGACTTCACTCGGCGAATCTGCTCCAAAGAAAATGATTCAACAGCCGGAAAAGTTGGAAATGGTTACCGTTTTTTGAGATTCGCGAGGCATCATCTTCACTGACTATTTGGAGAAGGGAAAGACAATCACGGGGCAGTACTATGTTGATTTATTGGGCCGATTCGACACTGAATTGATAAGAAAACGGCCTCATTTGGCGAAGAAAAAAGTGCTCTTTCACCATGATAACGCACCAACTCATTCGTACGCAATCGCCACAACAAAACTGATCGAATTACGCTACGAATTGTTGCCTCATCCACCCTGTTCTTCAAATTTGGCCCCCTGCGATTTCTTTTTGTTTCCAAACATGAAAAAATGGCTTGGCGGAAAGTGGTTCACATCAAATGAGGAAGTCATCGCCGAAACAGAGGCCTATTTTGCGGAGTTTGACAAATCATATTTTTTGGATGGCTTAAAAAAGTTGAAATATCACAGGACTAAGTGTATCAAGCTGAAAGGAGACTATTGAGAAATAAATAAAAAAATTTTTTAAAAATGCGTTTTCCTTTCCTAACACGTACTTATCATACAGCCCTCGTATGTTATTTGAAATACATATACTTTATTAAAAATATTTTTGCTTTTTTAAAATGTTTAAATGTTATAAATAAAGAAGAGAAAATTTACTTGCTTAAAACTTTTTTTTTAAACTAGCTTTTTAAAATATTTTTATGAACATTTAAAATAAGACATGATTTTCTGTACATTAAATCGAGATCTTTTTTTAGGAAGCACTTGTTAAAAGATTAGGACCCAATGCCCACGCATTCACAATGGAAATCACATCATTAGCCCCACCATCTGTGCAATTGGTACCAGCTAAGGAATACAATGGAGCACCTATAGGTACCAGCTATGATGTCAAAGCTTACATTGGTGAGTAAAAAATAGCTGCTATTTTTCTTAAGTTTTATTTTTACTCTGGTTTTGATAAATTTACTTTGATCGAAGAACAGAAACAAACATTTTAAAAAAAAGTACAAAAGGGCCAAGTTCATGCACTAATTGTATTCAACTGTCTACAAAAATAGTCATATTGTCTACAAAAATAGTGATATAAAAAAATTGCACCAACTAAGATTAAAAATTTGTACAAGATAAATATAAATACAAGGAAGAAAACTTATACAAATTAAATAGAAATATTTTAATTGAAAACATTGCTATACAAAATAGTTTTAATTTTCAAAAATAATAATATTAAAAAATTAAAAATTTATTTAAAAATTGAAAACTGAAAATTAATATAAAACAAAAAAGTAAAAAAAATTAATTAAAAAAACTGTTATAAAATATATATATATATATATATATATATATATATATATATATAGGTATATATATGTATACACACACACACACACACACACACACACACACACACATATATATGTATGTATATCTATATATATTACTATATGTTATATATATTTATATTTTCTTGTAAAATAGATATATTTATTTATCTTACTCTTACAAATTTTTAATTAATAATTTAATTATTTATTATTTAACTTGCACTTTATTACTTATCACTATTCAAAATGCAGTTAATGATACATGTCACTAATGACACATGTCATTAATATCGCAAAACATTGCTAGCGCAATCTTTTATCGAGAGTAGGAAATGTACGTTTTCTCTTTCTATGTGTACATGTGCGTTGATGATGATGATGATGATGATGATGATAAAGATGTTTCTCAATTGAAAATTTTCATATTTCGATTTTACGTTATGATATCTCCGTTTATAGATCACGCAGCAAAAAAAATATAGATACTTTTTTTATACAATTTAAACTCGCTCTGTCTTAAGGCTAGTAAGAATTCAATCCGTTCAGTCGTTATTGAAATCCGATAAAAGTTACTCTCTCAATTGTCCGACTCGCGTATAGATACACGGAGTGCCTATATGCACGCTAATGCTTTGCATGAACTTGGTGCGAGATACTATCGTGTCCCTTGATAAAGCATGGTAATAAAATGTGATTGGAGAATGTTAACAAATAAAATAATGTGAAATATTTATGTAAATTATATTTTTACTACTTATTACTTTTGCTACTACTTATTTTTGTTTATTAAACTTTAGTTTTAATAAAATGTTTTCAATACAAAAAATAAAATTTTGCTTATAGTTACTTAAGGATAATTTCATATATAGTTCAAGTCATAAAAACAAAGTATTTTGAAAAAATGACAATAATCTGATTTCAATATAAAAAAATCATTGATATATATTTTATCGGTTTTCAGAATCATTTGTAATGATTTTCCTTTCACTTATATATTATAATTGAACCGCTTAAAAATCACAATATTTTGTTGTGACAAATTATTATTGTATAATATTATATATAATATAAATTATATATCGATATATTTTCGATTTATATCGATAAACATTAGAAAACCAACTTAAATTATTTTTATGTTATTATTATTTTTTAAGAGTTTCTCACATTTTTTGCTATACATATCTATTATAACTTTTTTTTTAAATAAATAGATCAATTTTTACCTCAATTTCCATCCTATTAATCATATAATTCTCAGTTTTCATAAAACAAGATCGTTGATTTTTAAAAAAAGAAAACAGCTCATAAAATATCAGCTTTCAATTTATAACATAGATTTGGAAGCAAAGTCTTTTTCCGAAAAAATTTGCTCAATTATTTCTAAGAATGAATTTGTGGACTTGGCACTTTAACATAGTTTTCACCCTTATTTCCACGCATCGTTAACATTTCATGTGGCGGATTTTAGCGGAGCGGGCAGATGAGAAATTGCACCGTAAAACCACGGTCAAAATGGGTATTCGGGTAATCCAGCGAATCGCGAAGCCAGCTTTACCCTCGACTACTATGTACAGCGTGCCTCTAACTCAAGTGCCATCGATCGGTTCGAAAATTCAAGGAACAAGAGTGGAGTTTGCAGAAAATGAAATCATCGAGGATGATGGTTAGTTGTCTACCCAGATAGCCAAATGCAATGAGGTTGCTGTCATGTTGCCAATAATTGTTGAAGCAACTAATTTTAACAAACTAGAGACAAGGTGAGACAGCATTATGTCTGTTACGTTGAACTCACATGAATTCATGTGCTAATAACAACAAATTAATTGCAACATGTCAGCATATTGCTGACATGTTGTAGACAACGTAATATCAATATTGCAGACCATTTGCTTCGTTAATTGATTGCATGTAGAAGCAGACATATAGCTGCATTCGTAACGCATTCTATCTCGATGTCAGCAAGTATACTGCAAATATATAATAATACATGCGATGCATTTGTTTGCTGAATATGTCATTCAAGCTTGGCTATCTGGGTAGTTACTCTTATTTGTCTTAAAATTTATAGCAAGTCTTGTAATATAATTCTATAATTATATCCTTAAACTTCTTACAAAACAGAACTTAAGAGATTCCAACATTTCAAATAACACATATTTCTAGTTTGATTTCTAGCAAATCTACTGAAACACTTTAATAAATTTCCATTGATAAACTTATTTATCATTGCATCTATACATCTATTACAAATGCCCAATATAAATCGTAATGAATGCAGCAATGTTGTTTCTAATTTTGCAGAAAATATAGGACCACGTGCAGCGGTGGAAAAGCCATTTCTATTAAGTGACGGTCGTATTGGATTGGAAGCAAGACTAGATCATGCGATTTACGCTCATGGAGACTCAATTACTGTTCATATCAATATCAGCAACAATAGCAGCAAATCCGTAAGAAGGATAAAGGTATAAAATTAGGATTTTATATAATCACATTCATTTTTATTTCGAACGAACAGAGCTGTTTTAAGTAACAAGAATTAAGCATAGTTTTTTATGGAATGTATTCTGTAAATTATTTTGAATAAGATAAAATATAAATATTTTGTTTATTTTCTATTTTATTTATTTTTTATTTTATCGTTTATTTTTTTTATCGTTTATTTATTTTTTTGAGACAGATGTACGTTTTAAGATTTTTTTTTAAAGACATTAACAAATATGTATATGTATAAATTTAATATGTATAAATTTTTAAATAATCGCGATGTCGCATTTTTTAATGTTTTTTATTTATTATTTTTTCATTTTTCTTCTAAAATTTAAACTTTACGAAAATGAAATCCTATTGATGACTTTAGAAGTCATTTTTTAATTGATCAGTAAAATTATCAATCATATAAAAATCAATTGGAAGAAGAACAAGTACAAAAGAATATCCAAAAATATTTATTGATAGGTATTTTCTTTCTCTTATTTAATCTGAGCTCTTAAGCTTGATAAAAAGAAAAAAAAACAAAGATAGGATGATTTGTAGCTAGTCAGTGAAAAAATAAAAGAGTCAAAATATGAATATGAATATTGTGATAATCTCTGTGGAACTGATTGTTTCAAACAATATTATATTTGGACTCATTTGTAATCAAAACTGTGTTTTCATTAAATAAATAACTATTTATGAATCTTGTAAAGAGCGAAATCATTGAATCAAGTTAAAGTCAGGAATCGAAACCGAGTCTTTTGCTTGCCTAATAAATTTATGTAAATATGATATTTTTGAAATAATTACATTAGTCAAAAGTTAGTAGGACATTTTTTTATTTGTATTACTTATGTCAAATAGCCTTATCTATTAATTATTCGAGAAATGTTTATTCGTACCATTAATTCAGTCTTCATGTTAATTAATTTTGTGAAGTTACTAAGCTTGTTAGAACGTTCACATCCCATGGGTACACTTGATCTCAACGAGACTGCTTTAGCATCTTAGCAAAAATGCTGTTGCTTATATGACATGTGTGTGCAAATTTAATGAATATATACAGTAAATTATTAAGTTTAAATTAATATATAATAACTTAATAATTTAAATATTTTATTATATATTATAATTTATAATGTCTCTTATTTATAACAAATTGCATAAAGATTATAAAAAAATTATCTTTCTTTTCTTGATATTACGATAAATATTTATCATAAATATTTACATCATGTAAAAGATATTATTCAACAACATTATATTTCTTAAAGTAAATAGAAAATAGAAAAATAAAAATGTGAGACATATAGTATTGTATAGTTCTATAGTTCTGAGCTTGCACGCAAATCGAGATTTATATTCTATATTCATATATTCATATTCCATGTTCGGTGTTTGAAAACTAATTCTCTTTTTAATATCTATTTTGAAGTTAAATACAGTGTTAAATAAAGTAAGTCTCACTTTACGCAAAAAATTAGATTTATATGAAACCACACACACGCACACACAATTTTAAATCTCATATTGCGAAAGCATCAATATAAAATAGATTTCATTTCGCATAGAAAGTTCCAAATCAATATCGAACTTTAATTCTATCTATGTGTTTGTTTTTCAAAGTTTGATATTTCTGAACACTTTATATACGTATATGCCTGTTTAAGTGCACTTGCGAAGAAACTATCAAATCAAATATTAAAAGCTTTTAAATAGATCTACATTTACATTATTATTCCATTTAAGTGATTAGGAAATGCAAATCCTGTTCTGTGGTTTCTGGCATCAGATCTATTGTAAATAGGCTCTGCTGATAAGTCACAAGTTTAAAGCTTATATCAGACTATTGGCATTGAATATTGAAATTTGACCAATCAAGATAAAAAAGTTTTAGCTTTTTTTTGTTATAAATAATCAAATTTCAATTTTCAATCTTCAATATGTATCTAGTAAATAAAAATGTCAGCCGATGATTGACAATAAATTCAATCAGAAATTTAGAATAGATTGGCATCAATTGTGTCCAAATTAAGCCTGCGTTTTGCTGACAAAGTTTGCTGACATAACCCGACAGTAAATTGGCAGTAGAAATCGAGTAAAATTTGATGTCTTGATGTCAAATTGGCAGCAAAAACCAAACAGAATCTGCGCGCGCGTAATTCGACACTAGATTGACGGCAGAAATCGAGCAGACTCTTTACCATTTAAATAGAATACCCAGTCAGTCAAATCTGTTCTAACAGATTTCGACAAATATCTGCTTATTGTCAACAGAAAGACTGGTATGCAAAATCTGTTATAACAGATAATGATAACAGAATGCTGCAAAACCTACTGACCTAATTTGATAACAGGATACTAGCAGAAATCGAACAGGATTGACATCCGATTTGAAAAATAAGATATATTTCTTTTTAAAATCAAAGAATTATTTATAAAAGTTAATCTATTATCATTATAAAATAAAATTTACAAAATCAATTGTGTAGCAAAAATCAATATTAATTCAATCATCTGACATGAAAAAATTAATAACAGATGACAAATTGGTACACGTGTAATTAGGAATTTGAACGCGCGAGTTCTATGGAATATCGTTGGCAAACTTTAATCGCTTATAACTCAAAAACTTTTGTAGCCTTGACATTTTCATATTAAAATTGTCGTCCTAGGAATATGTCATTAAAATTTCAATCGTAATTTGTGGACAACGTATATAGTGGACATAAGTTATTTATTAAGAACTTAATCAATTTAATTATTATTAAAATAATTTAAAATAACTTAAAATTATTAAAATAATTCAATTATTATTAAAATATTATTATTAAAATATTATAATTAATTATTAAAATTTCATTAAAAATCTCTTTTTTTTCTTTAATAAATTTCCGTTTAATATAAGATACTAATAAGATATTATGTTATAATTTTAGATAATCAGTCTTGTTAAATCTTTTTTCATTTAATAACGGATTTCCGACTTCTATATAACATTTTATTTTTCTTTTCTTTATTTTTTTTATTCTCAAATTTTTATAGATGCTATTTTGTAATTTTTCTTTTGCTTGTTTCTTGATTCTTGATCAATTTTACCTTAAGCTTTTGTTATTTTTTTTAAATTTCTTAGTATTCAATTTTTAATAAACATCTTTGTATTGTATTACGTAGACTCTTTCCGTAATTATAACCATCCACAATTTTCTATAACTTGAATTTGAAACTTTATAAGTCAGCTACTTTTCCAAAAATCACACATCACCTCAATAATTTAATTCTCTCAACTAGGCAAGTTTATATATACGCATATATGTACATACATCTCTCTCTCTCTCTCTCTCTCTCTCTCTCTCTCTCTCTCTCTCTCTCTCCAAATTATTTTGAATAATATATTTTAATTAATAAAGATATTTAATTAATATATATTCTTTTCTTCTTTTTAAGTGAAGAATATATTCCTTGTATATATCGACAACTTTCTTGTACATATTTATACAACAAAATGTTTCCTTTCAGGTATTTGTTGTACAACATGTGGATGTTTGTATGTTCAGCAATGGCAAATTTAAGAATGTTGTGGCCCTTGTGTCTTCGCAAGAAGGCTGTCCCGTCGGTCCAGGTAGTACTTTGAAAAAATCTTATACTCTCAGGCCTATTAAAGGTTCAACCAAAAATTGGATCGCCTTAGAAGACAGCTACACGAAAACTGGAGCAACTTTGGCATCAACTGTTCTTTGTCCTGGGAATGGAACCGATGATAGGAATGTCTTTGCCATTTACGTATCTTATTATGTAAAGGTAACTTTTTAAATATATGAAAAGATAAGAAATAATCAAAATCATTAAGCACATTTATTTTAAGGCTAACAGCCCAAAAAATTGAATTATTGCAAAAGAGCATATAATAAATTACATATATAACATGTGCAATAACATATGTAGTAAAAATAAATCACAATTTATATTATGGCCAATAAGAGTTAACCACAATGATAATGCATAAGTTTCATAGAAAATTAATTATTCTTGAAATTTAAAAAATGAATGGTTGAGCATAGGGCACACATTTTTTTGTACGTGATAGTAATTAAAGTAATTTCATTGAGAGATTCAACTTTAAATTCTTATCCTAAAAAAATATAGGCTAGAAAAATATATCATAATGGCTAGATCGGAAATCGAACTTAAATCTGTCGCTTACCGGGCGATTGTTTTTAGATCCGATTGCACTAATATTATTTAAGCGAAACTTAAATATTATATTTATTTAGAAAAAAAGATAAAGAAATAGATAGATATTTAAATCTTATTTAAATCTCCAAAATAATGTTGGTGTAACCTGATCTTATACACTTCAGAACTCTTTTAAATCTATTTCTACATGAAAAAGATTTATTAAAAATAAGGTTATTTTAACTATTTAGTATCACATCATCTCAAAAAATTATCTTATATACAATTAGTTTCAATAGAAATTAATTTTTTATAAAATATGCAATATTATCATATTGATCTCTTATTAGCCCCAGAGAATTTAAATTGTAGTTTTCTCATTAAAGCCATATGATTCTTTATTTTTTTAAATCAATTAATTCTCTCGAATTTACATTTATTTAATTCATATTTATAATAATCTGTCACATTATATTATATGAGTCAAATAGTATGAAAATAAAATTTCATAAAAGATCCTAACTTAATATTTATTTTAAGGTCAAATTGTTGATCTCGGCAATGGGCGGTGAAGTTTCTTTGAAACTACCGTTCGTTCTCATGCACAGTAATACAGATCCAGACCTCGTAGGATTCCCATCTCCTATTCGAGAACCACCGAAACAATTTGAAAAGAATATAAATGAGATTACGGAGAGGAAACAAACAGGAAACAAACAGGATAGCAATAATCACAGGACTAAGGAAAATAAATTAGAAGTTATTAAAGAGCAGGAGAAGGAATCGAGAGTGACTGATGTGGACTTGATAGAACATTGTGAAGAAAGTGACAGTACCTGAGAAAGGGCGCAACGAGGCGACACGATGTCGCGGTCGTCTGTCAAAAAAAGTAGCGATACGAAGAATTCGAATCATAAGACATGCAGACTCAGCGTTACTATTCAAAGAGTTTGGTGTTGTTTCAGAAGAGCTTCTTAGTAAAGAAATGAGTCAAAATCTTAAAATATCATTTAAGTGATGATATCTATTTATATCATCATTGTAATTTCTCTTATTATTTTGGAGAAAAATATATCTTGTAAAAATTGCACAAATAGGAAAACGAATAGATCTTGCAGATTCTCACAAAATGATGGCTGCAAAAATAATGCGGATTTCACATATTTTGAAGAAAATAAAAATGCGGATTCAGAAGTTAGATTTCAGATTACTTTTGAAAAACAAAATAATTTATAAAATTTTATAAATAAATAATTTATTATATTTTTCATGAAGAAAATTTTACAGAGCGCAATTATAGTTAGATGATCATAATTTGTGAATTGTTGAATTAAACGCATGAAAAGTTATGCACCATGTATTGTGGCGCATTATAATAAAATTGAATTGCTCTCGATAAAAAGACACTTATATAAATATTATTACTGTGTGATTAAATATGTGAAATTGCAAATTATTAGAATCGTATTTAGATATTAATTTAAGAAATTTAGAAAATAAAAAGTAGAAAATAAAATAAAAACATAAATTTTATTGAAAATGTCTAATGATAAATAGAAACTCTGCAAAATTTTTGAGAGAAAAAAAATCTTGCCAAGAGATATATTCCTATATATTTATATATACGTCACTGGATAATGTTAATATAATATACATATTCTCATAATCTACTAAGGAACTAATTATTGCTAATTACGTAAAATCGCCTAAAAGTAAAGTTGCTTTAAACTTTTTGTGTCTACATCTTCCTACATCTAATATCCCGAGAAAAAAAGTTTATGTCTAATTATATATAATATAATTTTGTATGGATTTTGGCTTGATCTTATATACTATATATAATCATATATATATATATATATATATATATATATATAATTGTTTTTAATTATATATAATTAGATTGCATTATGCATTCTTTATGATATATAAAATACCTATCTCAACATAATTAAATAATAATATAACTTATCTATCTATTTCACATAAAATTAAAAATTGTATTTTTATATAAATTGAATTTTACACCTTAAATATATGATGAACTGATCATTTTTATTTATTCACCGGACATTTATTTGTCCAACTTATAAAATCAATTTAATATCTGAAATCTGAAGTTTCTCCACTGAAGAACTTGTATCAGAAATTAAATTGAAGCAAAATATTTTGTCACCCTTTGCAAACTTTATATAATTCTCGTAATTAAATACGAGAGAAATGCGTGACATAGCGGTAAACGAACGAATTAGTGATCATATATATGTATATATGATTAGGAAAAATTATATATTTTTAAATAGAATTAAATTAGAAATCTTTATCGGCTCAATTGTATACAATTGTATACAATTGTATAAATATATGTATATATGTAACTATATCAAATTGGTGCAATTATATATAGATTTATATAATTATATTAAATTATATGTAATAATAAATAATAAAATCTATTTACATTATTATTTATATGTAATTTTATTAAAATATTTGCAATTTCATGTCAAATTATGTAAAATTATATCGAGTATAATACTCAAGCAAGAATTCTAGTATAATTTTGCATAATTCGATACAGAGTTACAAATATCTTGACAAAACAATATAAAATAATATATAAATGATAGTATAAATAGATCTTAATATATATAATTATATATAAATTTATCTAATTGTATATAATTATCTATAAACTTTTTTTTCGGGATATGAAAGACTTCCTACTGCCATCTTAATTTTATAATAAAATTTTATGTTCATTAATTTCAAAAATAAGGAATGAGTAAAACATATGTGTTCACTCTTATATATGAAAAAAAATTATATGTATGATCTTATTTAGAAAAAAAATATCTATATATAAAATATTATATCAAATTTAAAAAATCAATTATATTTTTCCAGAAAAAGAAAATATTATACTAAATTAAAAATATCAATTACATTTTTCCAAAAAAAAGAAGACGAAATATACATTTTATATTATAATAATAAATATATAGATTATATGTATGTCCAATTATTACTAGATAGAAATTTTTAATGGTATGTCCTTTTATAATTTGACTTTGTTGTAAGAGATTTCTGTTCGTATTGCAGCCATATTGTTTCATCAATTGTAAAGTCAATAAAAATTATATGAATTTTTTCTTCTACTATATTTCAAAATAAATTAATTTTTTATATATAATTATTCTTTTAGACTATAAAATGTACCAGTAATTCTTTTTACTTTTGGATAAATAATTATCCATAATCTGAATTATCATAAATTAAAAATATTATATATATATATATATATATATATATATATATAGTATATATGTATATATATATACAAGGTGAGTCAAAAGTATGTATTAAAAATTTGTGAACGTGTTCCTGGATAAAAAAGAAGGTAAATGTTTAGATTACACAGCTCGAAAAATTTTTATTTTCACATATGTTGTAAAAGATACATTCCTAAGTAATATACCGTTTGAATTTTGTGGCGGTTTCTCTTCGTTTCTCAAATATGCAATTTTAAAATTTTATACTTGTATCTTTTCGTTACATTCTAAATATGTTTATATTTTTCTGTTTACATTTACCGAGGTCATCTTTCTGAATAACTTTCAGAAAGTTTTAGCCTTATTATTTATTAAATAGTTATTAAGAAAAAAAGTTTCATAAATAGAATACAATTTTACCATATCATATATGTTTAAGAAGAAATATATTTAATAGAATATACATATGTATTTGTAAACTTTGCTTTGTCTTGCAAAGTACATGCGCGGACTGTGTATTCCGCCCTCCTTACGGGGAGCTCCACTTTCGCAAGATATAATCTAACTCAACCTGTGTCTGAAGTATGAGAAATACCTTGATATATAATATTTTGCTTCACATGGTTCATATGGTTCATGAGTTTATATAAGTTTGCAACTTTCTATGCGAAGCCAGATATAGTTCACACTTCAGACTCGGGTTGGATTAGGTTATATCTTCCTAAAGTGGAGTCCCCCCGTGGGGGGGGGGGGGGAACGAACATGCGGTGTTCACGTATGTACTTTGCAAAACGAAAGAAGTTGTATACAAACATTTATTAAAAGTTTAGATAAAATAAAAAGTACAATTTTTATTTAGCGAAACTCAACAATAATTCTATAGCTTAGCGACATGGAAGAGACGAGCAAACGTAAACAAAAAAATATAAACACGCAAGTAAAATATAATATGAAACCGTGATGAGCAAATGTAAACGAAAAATGTAAACGCATAAATATAACGAAAAGATGCCATAAAAGTATGAAACTTCAAAAGTGCATATCTCAGGAACGAAAAGAGACCGCCGCAAAATTCAAACGATGTATTACTTAAGAATGTATCCTCTACAACATGTGTGAAAATAAAAATTTTTTGAGCTGTGTAACCTAAAGTAAACATTTACCAAAAAGAAGAACAAATATTCATATGAACGTATGATCGCAAATGCTTCGTTATCGAAATAATGGACATAAATTAGCAGTATCAAATAATGATTTATTCGAACGTTTACAATTTTGTTGTTCTTTACAAAAGATGCTCTATGTGTCCTCCATCATTTTCAATACATGCTTGAGCACGTCTACATGACTGACGCATTTATTCGAAAACACCAGGATTTCCACGGACTATCAAGCATTATGTCCATAGATCATTTTCATTGTTAATTTTTCGTCATATTTTTCACGAAGCGTCAGAAATAATCTCAATCGACATTACCCTGAGCGATAGATTGAACGTGGTAGATTGATGGCCCAGTGTCATGGCCACCGAGATCACCAGATCTAATTCCTCTAGATTTTTATTTGCGGGGTTATTTGAAGAACGTCATTTATCAAACACCAGTTAATAATGAAGATGACCTATGGACACGTGTCCATAATGCTTGCGAGATAGTCCGTGAAAATCCTGTTTTCGAACAAGTGCGCCAGTCATGTAGACGTCGTGCTCAGGCATGTATTGAAAATGATAAAGAACACGTAAAACATCTCTTGTAAAGAACAACAAAACTGTAAACGATCAAATAAATCATTATTTGATACTACTAATTTATGTCCACTATTTCGATAATGAAATTTGCGACCATACGTTCGTATGTACTTTTGTTCTTCTTTTTCCAGAAACATGCTCACAAATTTTTAACACATACTTTTGATTCACCCTGTATATATAGCATACATGTATTTAAAAATTTGCATGAAGAAAAATTTTTTTATATATTTTACAAATTTGCAAAATAAATTTATTTGAATATAGTATAGTAAATTTATTTGAATATAGTATAGTACAAAATAGTTCACATTTTTATATTCAAATATTAAAATTTAATATTACAATAAGAGATCAGAAATATTAAAAGAATTGTAATAAGAAAAAGTATTTTAATCCAATTATCTTAATAAACATCAAATGTTTTAGCAATTAAATAAATAGTTTTGAGAATTGAAATAAAACTTTTAAGTATATTTAAATAAAATTAACTATAGTAATCAAAATAGTATTGACAAAATGCACGTATTATTTGATAAATTAATCGTCAATTAAGTTAATTGATTAAGATTTTTATTTCTCTTAATATTTTCATTTGATCATATTAGTTTGGGATAGTTATTAACTAATTAAATTTAATTTAAACATAATTAAAAATCAAGATTTTGATTTATACATACACATATAATTAATATGAAAATTATAGAAAAGATATATACATAATTTCTTATAAATTTTATGTAAATTTTAAATATATCAATTTTATCATTAATATTCCATTCAGTGATGATGGAACATTTCACCCTAATTATATTTTTTTAATTCAAGAAAAAAATTGTATTGACTACTGTTCACAATCTTATAAAAAATAAGAAATTATTATAACTAATAAAAATCCATCACAATAATAAAATTTTCAAAATAAGATGATAATCATATGTATATAATATGATCATATATAAAAATATTATTACTGTATATTATTTTTTCATTTACAATAAAAATATATCAAAATGCAAATTACATTTTCAAATCTGTAAATAATAAATTCATAAATATTAATGCTATATTGCTCATTATATAGCATTAATCCAGATATATATATATATATATATATATATATATATATATATATATCCCACACAGCACATGATATCATTCGAATATTCTACATTCATACTGTAAATATACAGATGTAATATACTGAGAATATTCCCATAACATCTTTTGTTGTGTATTATTTGTCATATATATTCTTAGAATATACTTTGAATCTCGTATTAGTATATTCTTTCTCGTACATTTTTAGGAGTTTCTATAATATTGCATGTGTTTCTTCATTTTGCCGCTACGCGCGCCAAACTCATACTTAATTTTTGATGAAATGGACATAAAGGACTGGTACTAACATGAGTTCCAGAGTTTCTTCTTTTTTCCTTTTAGTCAATTTAATTTATAATAAACTGACTTAATAACTGATTTAATTTTAAAATATATATCGGCATATACTATTAGAAATAACATTTTTGTCCGAAGCTTTGTTTATAAAATAAATAATTTCACATTTTTATTTATTTTTTACATGAAGAATATATTTTTTATTCTACATATAATCCAACTGTTTTCTATATTCATATATAATTTATTAAAGTAAAAATATGCTTAAAATATTTTAAAAATATATTCACAATGTATCAAAAAATATTCTGAGTATATACTGAGTAGGTTTCTAAGGCAGACATAGGGACATCTTCCGTACATTTTCAAAATATCATAGTACGTATATCGAATATTAATGTGATATACACAATCTACGTTTGCGATATACTGAGTACATACTCTCAGGATCTACCTGTGCTGTATGGGTATATGAATATATATACATATAATAAAAGTGGGAATAAGTGGAGATGGTTCTGAATTCTTAATTTAGTATAATCGTTTATATATATATATATATATATATATATATATATATATATATATAACGAAAAACAATTAAAATATTAAAAAGATAAAAATTAAAAACAAAAAAAACAAGAAATTAAAAAAAATAAAAAAATAAAAAAATGTTTAAATTAAAAAAATTAAAAACAAAAAAAAGAAAATCCTGTCAGCAAAGTCTGTTCAAACAGATTTTATCAATTTTTGCTACAAATTTTTGTCGACAGTAAAATTGCAGATTGTATAAAAAATTTGTTATATCAAATAATAATAACAGAATGTCAGCAGAAATGTTACAAAACCTGCTGACATAATTTGATAGCAGAAACTGAACAGGATTTGTTTAAAATTATCATAGCAGATTGATGGCAGAAATCGAGCAAGATCTGCGCAACACAGTTTGATATCAGATTGGTTGCAGAAATCGAGCAAAATCTGATGCAATTTGATGTCAAATTGTTGGCAGAAATCGAACAGAAGTATAAAATTATTATAGAAGATTAGCGACAGAAACAGAGCAGGACCTGCGCAAAACAGTTTAATGTCAGATTGTCAGCAGAAACCGAGCAGGATCTGCGCAATGAAATTTGATGTCAAATTCTCGGCAGAAATCGAGTAAAGCCTGCAGATATAACTAACGCCAGATTGATAGCAGTAATTTAACAGGATCTGTGAGGCGCAATTTGATAGCAAATTGATAACAAAAATCGAGCAGGATCTGCGTACACACTCTCTGATAGCAGATTGACGACAGAAACAGAACAGGATTTACATGATTCGATAGTTCCTTCACTTATCGCTACGTGAACTGTACTTTCTCGTAATCTAATTTCTATCAGAAATATATATAAAGTCGCGAATATGAATAAAAGACTAAAAATATAGTAATTATCACTTTAATTTCTGATATCTGATATGAGCAGATGAGATTCAGATATTAAACTGATTAGAATCAATATGATAAATGGAAAATTTATGTCCTAGCGAAAATGAATATCGGAGCGTAAGTCGAATGTAAGGAAAGAATAACAGAAGTGTAAACGAAGCTTTTAAAAAGCATAAATTGAAACGCCGAAGCGTAAATGAAGCGTTTAACACTTCTGTTACTTTTTCCTTACATTCGACTTATGCTCCGATATTTTTATTTTCGCTAGGGGTACTGCCTATTTGAGGCATAAAACAAAAATTTAATTCTAAATAAATTACATCTCAAGTTTTACAAGTTACATTTATTTTTATCACACATTTACTTTATTATTAATTTAATTAAATTGAATTAGTCCTTCGCTATATGAGATATAACTATGATATAACATATATTAAGCCGTCGTCTATAATGGCAGTAGAATTAATGAATTAAAGCTGTAACTCAATAAATTGACCAATCACAGTCGAGTATTCTCTTAATGATTAACTGTGATTGGTCAATTTCTTAAGTCTTACGCCTTAAGTTTCCTTAAAATATCATTGTAGACGCCGCTTAACATATATTACGATATAACATATGACATATATGTCATTTTAGAAGAAAAGTGTAATTAACTTGCCGATAATATTGTTATTTAGCACCTGTAATAATCAATTTTGTTACATTTATATAATATTAATAAAAGTAAGCGCAAATCTTGTGCAGTTTTTGCTGTCAATTTGCCATCAAGTTGTATGCGCAAATTCTGCTCGATTTCTGCTGACAACCTAACATCAAATTGCACGCGCAGATCCTGTTCAGTTTCTGCCGATAGTTTGTTGACAGGATATGTTTTACAAATTCTGTCGCCAAAACAAAAGCTTAATGTGGACATAGATGGCTGCGATTCTAGTGTGGGATTCTGATCGAATTTGCTGCCAATCTGCTGCCAACCTGCTAACATTTTGCTTACTCAGTTATTATAAATTAAACTAACTAAAAAGAAAAAAGAAGAAACTTTCGAACTCATGTTAATATCAGTCCTTTATGTCCATTTTATCAAAAATTAAGTACGAGTTTGGTGGCGCGCGTAGCGCGTGTTTCAAAATAAAGAAACACATGCAATATTATAAAATATCCTGAAAATATACGAGAAAGAATATATTAATACGAGATATTCAAAGTATATTCTGAGAATATATGAAAAATAATATACAACAAAAGAAATGTGTAGATATAGAAATATTGTTATAGAATACTGTTATAGAAATATTCTCAGTATATTACATCTGTAATGTATATTTACAGTATAAGAGTATAAAATATTCGAATGATATCATGTGATGTGTGGAAAATAGTTCTATTTTAATTAGAATAATTTTTCAATAATGTTAAATTATTTTGATTATTTTGATATATTAATACAGCAAGATATATAATTGTATGTAGCAAACTTACCATGCCACTGTGCTCTTGCATTTCCTCTAACAATTTGTTTACTAATTTTGTTAGTATCATCTTGCACATTGATTAAAATATATTTAAATCTTCCATAATCGTCGATATCAACATCTACCACTTTATCCAATAAATGAGACATTGTAACAAATTGTTGTATATTTATCACACCTGTAAAAAATAAATGCAATAATAAACATAAAATAGAGCTGTAGCTATAATATAACCTAGCATAAGTTATTTATATCTAGTTTCTATTTATATCTATATATTCACATATCTCATATTACATTTATATTTATTACTACCAAAAAATTAATATATCTTAAATATTTCTATCTTATATTTTAATATATACGATACAATATATTATTCGTCACAATTACTATTAAATCCCTTCAAAATAACGTGCCGACTATTCATCTGCGCTCCAATATTAGGTTCAATGTTTCACGCATGTGCTATCAGGAAAGTATTTCAATCAATCGCATAAAATGAGGTCCTATATTGCCACTATTTATGTCCGTTTTCTCTAAGGTGGTTTAATTGAGAGACTTGAGAGTTCTAGTAAACTGTGATCAGAGAGAAACCTGAGAGGGGCCACGCTACCGAAAATAAATTAGCGCTGAAAGTTCATATTTTTGACGTACGTACGACATACGTTTTTCTTATTAAACATATTATTATAAAATATATTTAACTACTTATTTACCTCTTTTAATATCTCAAGTAGTAAATTTTTTTAATCCTAGTGATCCCAGTGGGAGAAACGAAACGCAGCACTGAGGGTTTTCAATACTGCCAACTTTATCTTTTTTCCCAACACTGACCAAACATATTTTCGAACGCACTAACTGTATTTCTACAATAATATTGGCTTCTCTCTGTATATTGTTAGAAATACAATTGGTCCCACTAAATTATTTTGTCATATTGGCAACCCTTTAATCAACGATTGAGGCTGTGTTCCAAAATTCATTACCAGTACTGAAAATCTATAGTGTACGTCACGTAAACTATAGATTTTCAGTACTGGCAGTGAATTTTGGAACGCAGCCTAAGCTAATCGGAGTTTGATCGAAGCGGCCCTAAGATTTTATGCCGGAATTCAGGAAAAATGAGAACTGCTTTGAACGCAGTGTTTCACAAAGTGCAGGTTAGAATTGTTTAGCTTCTCACCAAGATATATATGTCTGAAATTATGGATGTCGATAACCAAAGCGAGGACGGCGAAATAAAAAAGAGTCCATCTAAGGATATGGGTGATTACAGGTACTTATACATGTCACTGCGCATTTTTCAGCGTTTCTTGTAAAGGTTAGATCGAAAAATCGTTTAACTATGAATCAACTGTGGAAACAATTGTATTTATTTACACTTTTAATTTTTGTATATTGTATTGTCTGACTATTCAATATAAAACTATTTTTTATTTTTATGTAAGATTAAAATGACATTCAAGCACATGCGCATTCGAACTTTGCAACTTTGCATAATTTTAGCTTTGGAATTATTTCATAAACATTGATCCATATTCTGAATCTTCTTTTATCGATAAAAGTGCTTCTAAAAGTGGCTTATAAGCTTTCTGGTTGGCCATAAGCCACTTTTAAAGGCACTTTTATCGATAAAAGAAGATTCAGAATATGGATCTATATATAAGATGTGTTTCATTTCGCAACGCTCCTGAGCGTCATCTATCTTTGTTAATTTTCGGTGAACAACAAGGATGAAATGATATCACGAGCATTGCGACGTCAAATGGAACATGCCTAGATAGAGTGCATTTCTAATTATCTGGCTGCCATTTTGCCAAAATTGTGCAATATATATAAATACTTGATAGTTTAGTAATATATAAAGATCTGGTATCCAGAATTCAGATTTTCATTCAAGATTCTTGTCTGAAATGACTTTATCGATAATATAGGTTTCGTGTATACATTCGTGCAAATAGTCGAGTCCATGTCGGAAATTTTTCATTAATCTCATTTAGTGTTTGGAAAAACAATCACTGCAAGAATCTTTTTTTACCGTTCTAAGAATATGTTGCATCTTGGAATCAGAATGACAAGCAATGTTTCCGAGAATTTTTAGGTATTTATAATTTTGTAAAGTGTATATATATGTGTATGTGTGTGTGTATGCATATATATATATATATATATATATATATATATATATATGCATACACACACACATACACATATATATACACTTTACAAAATTATAAATACCTAATTATATTTACCAAATTATAAATACCATATATATATATATATATATATATATATATATATATATAAATGAATAATTGAATTGTCACATATTTATTCGTAGTAAAATTATTCTTACTTTATATACAACTAGACATTAAAAGATTTAATAATAATTGACATTGCATGTAAACTTATATACATACACACATATACATATATACAGTTTATGACATTTGTATAAATAAATTTATTTATAATTTTTAAATTAATAATATTATTGATTCATTCTAATAACTTGATTTCATATTTCTAGTTTTTCAGAAGAAGAAGGTGGTGATACTGCTGACTCGTTGGATATTAAGCCACCGCAAGCAGTTGTTCGCCATCATAAATCAAGTTCGTCTCGTCGAAGAGAGAAACACAATGATAGGAGAAGTCGCAGAGATGAAAAGGAACGCAAATCGCGTCAGCATGAACGCGAAGACAGGCACAGGGACAAGCACAGACATCGTAGGCATGTTGGAGAACCTATGGAAAGAATCGAGCGTTTAGAAACTTCCAAGAGGAATCGTGAAAGAATAGATCGTTTAGACAGAATGGAAACTCACTCTAGGGACAGAGAATCATCTAGACATGATCGTAAGGAAAGAAATACAGGAGATCGTGTTCTAGAAGACTTGAGAGAAAGGTAATTACACTTTCTGTCTATCCTGTTCTGCTATTGTTTTTTATGAAAGTAAAAATATTGATAACTCTTTTCTATATAAATCTTTTTTTTTTTTCTAAGAACCTCTTTAAATGAAAATATCAATTTTTCAGACTGTTGGATAAGAGAAGAGAAAGACGGGAAGATCCGCGTGATACTCGCGATTACAAAATGGAATCGTCTCGTCGTGAAATGCGATTAGAGGATACGCGAGAAATACGCGAATCGCGCGATCGTCGAGATGTACGAATGGAAGATATTCGAGAACGTCGCGAAATGCGTATGATAGACGATAGAGAACGTCGCGAAATTCGAATAGAGGAGCAAAGACATATACGAGTGATTGTAGATGAACAGTTTTCGGAAAACGAATTGATGGAGCGACCTGAAAGGAGTGAAAAACGCCGCAAAAGATCTCACAAGCACGATAGAGTTCGCGAAAGAGATCAAGAGAAAATGGAACGCGAAAAGGAACATAGAGAAAAACAGTTACGGGAAACGATGGAAATCGTAACCGATGAAGTTAACGAAATGGAAGTGCAAAATGAGATTCCTATACAGATTAAAGATCCAAAAGAGATGACGGAACAAGAACTTAGAAAAGAGAGATTATTGGAAGCTGATAGAGAAATGGCCAGAAGAAAAGAGGTTTCTAGACTAGAATTGGAGGCAAGAAGAATGAAGAGAGGTGAAAAACGCCCTTTGAGTCCAGACAATAATCCAGATCCTTCCATTGTGGAGCTTTCAGATGAAAGCCCCAGTCCTACTCATTCTGAGGGCATGCGTTCGAAATCAGCTGAATCTAGACATTCGTCAGAAGGAGAGAGAAGCTTGCGTGACAGATCTTTGGACCGACATTCATCTGATACTTCAGAATCGAGTAGCGACGATGATGATGACTCTAATGAATCGAATAAAGGTACCGGTGGTGATTCTAATGATGGTTCGGAGGATTACAACAACCCGAGTCCTCTATCCGTTGATCGATTAGCCAAATCCGATCAATCGGATGGAGATTCTCCTGGTCATGTCGATTCTAACAATCCTGTGAAAACCACTAAAGAGGAAGAAAAGAAAGAAGAGGAACCAGAACTACCACATTATTTACCAGCCATTCAAGGTATAACATAAATAATGTTACAAATATACATATCTTATATATTTATCTAAAATATATTTATCTAAATATATTATCTAAATATATTTATCTAATATATTTATCTAAAATAATATAAATTCAATACAAACTATAAAAATTTATATAAATTCAAAAATTTTAGGAATAAAAAGGATAAATACAAATAAACATCACAAATTTCTTATTTTTCAGGTTGTAGAAGCGTCGAGGAGTTTCAGTGTTTAAATCGAATCGAAGAAGGCACATATGGTGTTGTATATAGAGCGCGCGATAAGCGCACAGAAGAGATAGTTGCGTTGAAACGATTAAAAATGGAAAAAGAGAAAGAAGGCTTTCCAATTACAAGTCTGAGGGAGATCAATACTTTATTGAAAGCACAACATCCCAATATTGTCACTGTTCGGGAAATTGTTGTTGGTAGCAATATGGATAAGATATTTATTGTTATGGATTATGTAGAACATGACTTAAAATCTCTCATGGAAACTATGAAGCAAAAAAAACAAGTTTTTATACCTGGTGAATATATTTTAACACATAATAGGTTAATTGCATGCAAAATAGCAATGCGAGTCAAAAAATGAAAAATTTTAACAAAAATACATTGAGAATAAAATTTAATTCAACGTTACAGATTTACAATTATTGCAGCAATGAATGTGTCTTCTTGATTATATATTTAAGTTTTGATGTTTTTTTACTTCCTCAAACTTTTCAATTGATAATTTAAAAAGAATATCTTTAAAAAAATTGATATTTTGATCTATTGCAGGAGAAGTTAAGTGTCTTATGCAGCAATTGTTACGTGCTGTTGCTCATTTACACGATAATTGGATATTGCATCGTGATTTAAAGACATCAAATTTATTATTGAGTCATAGAGGCATTTTGAAAGTCGGTGACTTTGGCTTAGCTCGAGAATATGGTTCTCCCTTAAGGCAATATACGCCAATTGTTGTAACACTTTGGTATAGAGCTCCTGAATTATTGTTGAGTGATAAAGAATATAGTACGCCTGTAGATATGTGGTCTGTAGGGTAAGTAAATACAAATAATTTAATTTGAAATATTCTTTTTCCGAATATAAAGTAAATAAATCACTATACTTTTAAATATATAAAAATAATTATAAAAAATATGTAAATATATAAATATAATAATGAAAAATAACTATAATTATAAAAAATATATAACTATAATATAAATATCCTTAATATTATTATTTTTTTGTAGATGTATTTTCGCTGAGCTTCTAAGAATGGAACCACTGTTTCCCGGAAAATCAGATATCGATCAATTAAACAAAATATTTAAGGAGCTAGGTACACCCAGCGAAAGAATTTGGCCAGGATATATTAAATTACCTATGGTTCAAAAGATACCGTTCTCGCATTATCCTGTAAATAATCTGAGACAAAGATTTAGTTTATCATTGTCTGATTTAGGTGTAGAGTTATTAAACAAGTAAGTTATTAGCTTTATATTAAAAAATAATATCAGCATTGAACATAATTTAAACAAGTCTCATTAGAAAAATTATTTTGTTTTCAGATTTTTAACGTACGATCCTCGTCAACGTATAACCGCCGAAGATGCTTTGAATCATGAATATTTCACTGAAGCACCTCTACCAATAGATCCGCAAATGTTTCCTACATGGCCTGCAAAATCAGAACAAGGAACTAGAACCACGAATGCATCCCCGAAACCACCGAGTGGCGGCAGAGAATATAAACAATTAGGCGACGGTGACGACGCTGATTTAAGCAACTCCGGTTTTCACATGGGTTTAATAGAGGGTAGTAGAGCGCCGCCAATCGGAGGTGGTTTTCATTTGAAATTCTAATTAAACAAAATTTTTTCTCATTCTCCGTAAGATTTTCTAAATGAAAATCTTTATATAAAATCCCTTATATAAAAAACTCCTTTATATAAAATAAACATATGCACACATGCGCACACACCCATATACAGAGTGTCCCATTTTATTTTTGTTAGTCAAATATCTTGATGATATTATGGCGTTTTTGAGTGGTCGAGTTTAACCCGATCCGGGTTAATTTATTAGACATTATTGACCAATCACAGCCATTCTGAAGAATGTAATCATACATATATATATATATATATATATATATATATATATATATATATATATATACACACATTCACACACACATATATACATACCATACATATTTTTTCTTCGAAATAATTGTGTTTTCTTTACACCAATTGATTACTCTCATTATTTTGTATATAAAAGTATTAAAGTAAGATAATCAAAAAATGAATATTTTACTAGATATTTTGATGACTTATGTAAAATTAAGAAACTATCTCAAGCCTTAAAAAGTACTTGATGAAAACTAACTTAATTATATAGTGTGAATGAAAACTAAATTATAGTGTTTTGGAAAGCTCTCGAGATGAGCTACAAGAATAAGTAATAAAAAATAGGGCGTTCCATTTAAAAAATTGAAGATGACTTTCAAACGACTTTAAAATCAAACCAATGATACCATCTTATGATCCCCTTCAAGCCATACAACTTTTTATGTTTTTCTTTTGTGGAATTGCTTTATTTGTAATTACTTCACTTTTAAATGCATGCTTGTGTGCGTGTGTTCAGTACGCCGGAGTTTGGTTCCTACCCAGATAGAACATGAAACTCATAATGACATCATTATAACGTCACCTAAAAGTTATTTTACAAAAATCATAATGATCTCATTTGATATATTTTTGGCAATGTTTTGGTGACTTATTTTTGATATTAAACAATTCTAGCGAACTCTGTTGGAGAATATATATACTCTGCGTATGAAATCTTAAGAATCAATCATAATAATATCATTTATATATATATTACGCAATTACTTGTTTATTTAATTATTCATGTATATTTTAATTATATTTAAGCAACATAATCTTTTTAAAATTATATAATGCGATTATTGAATTTAAAAATTTATGATTCTTTTTGTCATCTTTAACTCATTTTTTAATCATTTTTGTTTAGGTAACTTTTAAGTAATAAATAAAATCATGATAACGTCATAATGATGTCATGAGTTTCATGTTCTACCTGGATACTGTTCCATGAAGCGGATTACGCGGAATCAGCGGATCACTAATTATGAGACTGTTTCGACGTAATCTTTATCAGAATAATGCCATGGATTGACGATCCGCTGAATCCGCTCCATAGGACATAAAATCAAATTCCCGCGTATCAAAAACGGCGGATCTTCTGTCATTGGTCGGATACCCGTATCGTAATACGCGCCATGGAACGTCACCATCATTGGCCGCATTCAGCGCTAAGTAGCAATCGAATATGATTGGTCTCTATTTTCAGGTCCGACCAATCAGCGTCGAGTCACATCGGAAAATCTAGTAATGTTGCTCAACTATTGAGTCCGCTGAATGTGGCCATTGTACTCGTGCACTGGAAGAATTTTTGTAAACTTACTAGTTCTAGTGTAGTCCTAGTGCAGCAATTAGTTTAGGGTTTACGATACTAATCGGATCGCTGATTGGACTGAGCAGTGGTACTCAGCGATAGACTTCCTAAATTTCCCTAGATTAATCCGGATCAATGATGTGTCTCTGGAGTAATCGAAAATTGCGGTCAAGCTGATCGAAAAAATTGTGAAAAACATTATATGAAAATATAGAAGGTACTTTATTATTACCCTCTATGTATGTTTTCTAAATAAAAAAAGTCTAAGTAATATTGTAACGAATAAAAACTTCACCTATTACATATTTAATTGATAAACTTTCAAAAATAATAATTACAAGAAAAATAAGAAATTCATAGTAAAATTTAATTATTATTGCTACATCATGTGATGTTTTTGCTAAAAAATAAGCGTCGAGCGTTAAGTGAAAACTCACCCTAATATTACATTTGTCGTACGATAAATTTTTTAAACGTATTGGCCGCATTCAGCGGACTCAACAGTTGGGCAATATTACTAGATTTTCCGATGTAATTCGATGCTGATTGGTCGGATCTGAAAGTAGAAACCAATCATGTTCGATTGTTACTTAGCTGTTGAGTCCGCTGAATGCGACCATTAAGTAGCTGTAGAATAGAAAGTTTCTGAAGAATCGAAAAATTACTATCCCGCTGCCAATCAATACGTTTAAAAAATTTGTCGTACGACAAATGTAACATTAGCCACTATCTCACATTAGCTTGCCCTCGTTTACGCTAGTTCAGTTCAGTGTAGTGCAGCATGAACTTAGTGCAATAAAGAACAAACCTCGGGTTATTTTTTACCTCGCCTCTCATAATTCGCGATATCCCTCTCGCCCCTAACGCTTCATCCTGTTATTTATTCCTCCATCCATGTTTGAAATCATGTAGCATATGTGAAATAATATAAATAATATGAATAACAATATAAATATATCTTATTTTAAGACGATTATATATCTTATTTTAAATGTTTAATCAAATATAATACAGTTAAGAAATAGAGAGGTTCATGTTGTTTCGGTGACGTAAGTCACCTGATTTTTACTTTAGTCCTCGTTCGTGCTAATATGCGCGGATTGCGCGGCCAAATTAAAGCAATATGGCGGACCGACACAATAATTTATAATGCAGGATATATAGATTATTTTGATTGCGCGCTATATACTCCGGCAGCAGATCGAATTACAATAAATAGAGAAATCCGTAAGCAAAAATATTTCATTTCTGATACGAGTGTTAGCAGTGGTGATTTGTTTTCTGTAAGATTTCGTGTAAGCCGTCCGAATCTTATAGCGGCTTCGAAATTTCGATATTACGTACGCGAACATGATTTTAGTTGTCTGGCTTTACTAGCAGGCTTTAGTGGCGATTTTATTATTAATCATTGCCCTTATATGCCGAAACATGTCATCCACGCAGAACAAAATGCGAGGTACGTAGAATATTTGCAAAAATAACCTTATAAATTCGGACTATTTGCTTCATATTTCGACGTATCATTATTTTATCTTGTTATTCTATATATTGTATATATATATATATACACACACACACACACACACACACATACATACATATGTATATACATATATATATATATTTATTTATTTATTTATATTTAGCTACATTTTGATTAATAAGTATAAGAAAAAATTTTTTTTCAAATTTTGAATATTTTTATTATAGGCCCAGGTCGACCACCAAAATCAAAAAACTCTTGCACATGGTGTGGAGAAACCAAACAACCATTGAAATATGTTCTTCCTACTCAGCATGGCAAGAAAGAGTTCTGTTCAGAAACATGTTTATCTGAATCTCGTAAGACTTATGCACGAGGTGCATGCGTACAATGTGACAATGTGATCAGAAGTACACCTGTTAGATTAGAACAGAAGGATGGTTCAACAAAAGATTTCTGCTGTTCATTCTGTTTAAATGCATATCAAAAAAAGGAAAGCCAATCTGACATGAAAAAAAGTGAGTAATTATATAATCTCTCTTTAAATCTATATAAAAAAAATCGTTCTACTTGTATAACATAATATATATACAGGGTGAGTTTTATTTCGTGTGTCAATCTTATATTATCATGCGGAAAATTATCGACTGCATAATAAATTGATCGGTACATAAATGTTAATTATTTGGATCGACCATTTCAAAGGCTTGAATATAATGTGTAAAATTAAAGCAAATTAAAAGCTGAACTTATATAATATGGATTTATTATTATTATTATTAAAGCTACATATTTATTATTATTATTGTACACATTATATTCGAACCTTCGATACGGTCAATCAAAATAATTGACATTTATGTATCGATCAATTTATTATGCAGTCGATAATCTCCCGCATGATAAAAAGATTGACACACGAAATAACTCACCCTATATATATATATATGTATGTATATGTGTGTATAATATGTATGTATATATGGAATTTATAGATAATAGGGATTCAGCATCACCTGCACAATCTCCTGCCCCATCTGGTTTACCAAGCAACAATAATGTACCATCGACTACACAGTCTTATACAAATACGAATAATCACACAACCATATCTCATTCACCATCAACATCTAGCGGACCATTTCAATATGAAACCTATCAGACTTTTGATTGGGATCTCTATTTAAGAGAAACAAAGAGTACAGCAGCTCCAATTGAATGTTTCAAACAGGTACAAAGCAATATAACATAATCTTCTCCTATTAAATATAACCAAAATATAAAAATATAAAAATATATAACCAAATCAATTTATTGAATTTTAATTTTCTAATATGAAAGTTATACAAATAAAATATTTTTTAAATTTATTTTTACAAAATCATTTAAGATATAGAATTTATATTTTTTACATTTTTATTTCAGCATGAAGTTCCGCCAACAAACGAATTTAAGATCAATATGAAATTGGAAGCATTAGATCCACGAAACTTAACATCAACTTGTATTGCCACTGTAGTAGGCGTTCTTGGACCTCGATTAAGATTAAGACTAGATGGTTCTGATAATAAAAATGATTTTTGGCGACTGGTCGATAGTAACGAGATACATCCGATAGGTCATTGTGAAAAATCTGGTGGGATGCTTCAACCTCCATTAGGTTTTCGGATGAATGCTTCCAGTTGGCCAATGTTTCTTTTAAAAACGTTGAATGGTGCCGAAATGGCACCAGCAAAAGTATTTAAACGCGAACCAAAGACACCGCGTTCTAATATGTTCGAAGTCGGACATAAATTGGAAGCAATTGATAAGAAAAATCCTCAACTTATATGCACCGCAACTGTTGGTGCAGTTAAAGATGATATGATACATATTACATTTGATGGTTGGCGCGGTGCTTTTGATTATTGGTGTCGTTACGATTCCCGAGATATTTTTCCTGCAGGTTGGTGCTTTAAGAGCGGGCACCCATTGCAACCACCAAGGCAAAAATGTACGAGATTGAATATAATTTCCAGAATCAATCAATATATTAACCAATCAATACATAATAGATATTCTGTACATATATTTGAAGTATTTTCTATAATTAACATTTTCTATCAGTAACTTTTGTAACTTTTTAAATTAACGCAGCAACAGGTCCCAACAGATTTAAGTCCAGAGCTAGTAATGTTTTGTTAGTAATGGCAGTTTCTGGAAATAATACTAGCAGAGAACCAGCGGTTGCATTAGTAAGCCCTGCAGGTTCCAGTGCACCTCCACAGCCAGCTACAGAACCTGATACTAGTACAGCCAATACAAAACCACATGCGCTTGAAAATGGTTAGTAAATTCTATATCAAATATATAATGTGCCATATTTTCTATAAAAAGATAATAAAATCCATATAAGAATAAGATTGAAAGAATATAACATGATTGTACATTGCAGTTACAATTTATGTCAATCATAACTGTTCCTGTGGACCATATTTTGATCCCCGAAAAGTGAAAGCCATGCCAGCACAATTTGGTATTGGTCCGATACTGAATGTTACAAGAGAAATCTTTCAAGCATTTTTAATGGCAGCCATGAGTCCCAGACAAATGTTGAGTTTGTTAAAACGTGGCGAGGGTGAAACTATAAACCTGACTCTGGAAAGTAAACCTGCCTCTGTTAGATTACCGATTTTTCTGGAAGAAGAAGACTTTTATATTTATATTAGGCGGCAACTTGAGAATCTATGTGCATGTGAATACATGTTAGTAAGACGAAAAGAGGCTTGCAACAAATGTCCTAGTACGCAACCACAATCTACTAACAATGATGAAGCAAATAATATTGTAGCAGAAAAAAGAAAATGGTCATCGCAAAGTCAGCAAAACTTAACATTTACTACAGAGCAGCAGCAGAGCACTATACAAAGTACAAATAATTCGACAGTGTCATCTCCTACAGTTGCAAAACAACCTCGCAAGTCTGTTCCTGGTAATTACTTAATATTTTATATAAAATTTAATATGTGTATAAATATATACACACACATACATACACATGCATATATGTATACATATATACGTACATACAGAATGAGACAATTAAAACAACTAAATAACTTGTAAATTATATGTTTTATGTATGAAAAATTGTTACATAATTATAAAAGTGTAAATATAAAAGTTACATAATTTCAGTTATATAATTTCAAAAAAGTTATTACATAATACATATTTTAATCTATATTTTTTATAAATAGAGATGTTTCAAAGATTTGAAGATTAATTTAATTCTTTTTTTAAATGGAAGCGTCATTAATTTGCAAATTGATTCCTCGTAATATTCAGTGTAAAAAATTATAAGAATAGGATGGACAAAATATTAATAGTTTACAAGATATTTCATATATATATATATATATATATATATATATATATATATATTTTTTTTTTTTTTTTTTTTTTTAATGACAATTTTATATAAATTATAAAATATTTATTTTTCAATTATCTTCATAAAATAATATTTTTGTACATAAAATAAAAGAATCACTTAATGTAAACAAAGTACATAGTTGTTTTTAAGAAAAAAAAATATGTAGCTTTTTTTACAAATTCATAGTTTTAATTGCTTCATTCCGTATATGCGTGCGTGCGTGCGTGCGTGTACGTTCGTATGTGTGCATGCGTGTGTGTACATACAAAATTAGATGTATAAAAAATCAAATATTATGAAAAACGGTTGTCGAAGAAAGTTATACAAAAGTTATAAGGTTTGAATAATTCTATTGATAACAGACATCAGTGTGATTTTGGTGTCTTTTAATCGGCTACAAAACAAGAATTTTTTGAGTGGATATTCTTATTTTTTTTATGCATTTTTTTATGTGGGAAAAAAAGGAATCATGTAGCTATTCATTTGTGTGGCAGTCAGCATTGCATCTCCAAAGCGAGATTCCAATATCGCTATAGAGTTGTATTATTTTATCATTGTATTAACAAACAGTATGAAGTAGTATAAGATATGAGATTTGAATAGCTCAGTGATAAAAGCAGTTGCCCGGAAAGCAAAAGACTCAGGTTTGATTCCCGTTTCAATCACTTGCGCCTTACACACTCTTAGTTTGCAAGTATTTATAAGTATTTTAGTAATTATTTGTTGGGTTGGAAAATATGTGAATGCCTTACAGATATACTATAGTATCTCTGCTATGGATGAATTGCTATGAATAGATTTTGAATACTTTTTGCCTTAAAACTCTCTCCTTTTTTTGATTCGATGTCGAATCATTTTCAAAATAGTACAAATAAACTTTTTTGGAAACTCTCTAAGTTATAAATTTTCAAAGTTTAAGTACTGCCGGCATTAGTTAAATAAAATTTAACATGCAGAAATTTTGCATAGTTGAATTTATGTCTCTTATGATATGTACGCGCCTGTGTGTATATGTTGAATCATTTCAACATTGTAATTTCTGTATGATCATGTATGGGATTTTTTGTATATCCAACATATAATATATTACATCTTTTTATTTATACATACACATACGAAGTACATACGAAGTACATACATAAAATGTGCGTGCGTGTATTATGTACATATTATTATTATTTTTATTATTATTATATATATTCTTTAAGATTTTAAAATATATAAATACTTAAAAAACATAGTACACTTAAAAGAGATTATCTGAAAAGTTTAAATATGAAATTGAGACATTAAATTTTCTCATATATAGTAAAATGGAACACATAGTGATTAAAAATATATTTACATTTAGAACTTGAAGCAGCAACATCTACTACTCAATCTGAATCTTCTGCAAATCGCATTCCTTCCACTGAACCAGCAGAATGGACTATTGAAGATGTAATACATTATATTGCCATTACAGATCCAGCACTAGGACAACATGCAGATTTGTTTAGAAAACACGTGAGTTAAATACAAAAAAAAGTCTTATGATGTCTAATATATTAAATGATTTATTGTAAAATTAATGATAATTTTTAGGAAATTGATGGTAAAGCTCTACTTCTTCTTAATAGTGATATGATGATGAAGTATATGGGGCTAAAACTTGGGCCAGCACTTAAAATTTGTAATTTGGTAAACCGTATTAAAGGTAGAAGACATATGCTTATATGATTTCCTCAGATATGAATATTTGTGTAAAATAATCTGAATTGATGCATTTCAATGGCTATCAGATTATGTTATCAATAATGAAAACAAAATACATAGATTGTTACATAAATAATGTGAATATACATTGACAATGATTTTATTTTCGGAATTATCATATATCGACAATTTTAGAGTTTAATTAAGGTAAATTCAAAGTTAAACTTCTGAACTCTTGTCAGAACACTGTTTTATTATTTCACAAAGATATAAATTTGCATTAATTAGTTGTAATGCAAATATTTTTGTTAATAAATTTACCATTGCCCTACGAGTATTATAAATAGGTTAGCCTAATTCAATTCTATGTACGTAGATAAGCAGTGATCACCATTGAAACTCTATGATACTATCATATATATGACAACAAAAAATTCTGACACTTTGTAAATAGTTTGATGTCTTTTTTTATTTTATAATTTTTTAAATTATATGTTTCAAATACATATATTGTAAACAAATATATCTTTTTACCATTTTCAAATTTAATCATTATGAAAGATTAAAAAATCTAATATTTTACTTTATTTTGCTTAAGACATGACATAATTATACACTTAATGTTCACTAGTATGTGTTTATTAGACATATCTTAATGCAATTTAAATGATTTTAAAAAATTAGAATGAAAATCTTAATAGGTTAACATTTTTCCTTGTAAAAACTGTGGATAGATTATAGATTTTTGTAACGTTATAATGTAATTTTGATAATGGTTACAATTGAACTTGTGGCACAGTTATTCTTCAAAATTACAAAAATAATAGTACGCTAGTTGTTTTTCTTTATTATGATTAAAATTTTTTCTTTTTATTAAATGTAAACTATGAATACATATTCCGGGACATTCTAAAATTAGAAAATTAATTTGATGTATATAATTCTCTTGTCACTGCAATTCTTATTACTGTGATATTCTGGATAACTTGTACAGCAGTCTGCCACGCTTTACAATATATTGCAGTTTATATGAAAGATCTATAAAGTTACTATTTTTCTATATTCTAATATTAGTTTCAAAAATCTAATTTAATTTTTTTTTCTACTATAAAACAAGTGTTATTTTTTCTCATTTATATAAGATCTTATGAATATATAAATGAAAATTAAACATCTATGTTATGGCTATTTTGTACTATTTTATAATGTTTCAAACTATAAATTTACTTTGAAAGTATAACGTTTACCTCTTTTTTTCTTTCTTTAAATATTACCTACCTAAAAAATTTCATTATATAATAATAAAATATACAATATCTTAAATTATAAAATGTATATAATAGATTTGTATTATAAAATAACTTCTTTCAATAGAATTACATTTTGGGCGAAATTTTCAACTTGATAGATTTATTAAGTTTAGAAAATATTTTGATACAAAAATAATTTAGAATGTGTCCAAAAACAAATAGGCAAAAATAAAAAAGATATTAGTACTAAATGTTGCTGTTATTAATAATTCTAGCCATTATGTTATAAATAAATAATTCCAAGATATCCCAGATGTGTATTGTGTTAATATAAAGTATAACAATTTTATTATAAAAAAATGTTTAGTTTATTGTTAAATAACAAAATTACAATAAAATTTAATGTGATATAAAGTAAATGTGAAAAATATGAAAAAAATTTTTATATCTAGTTTTAATCATCATCAGAATCATCATCTGAATTGCGTCCTTTAATAGTCTTAGGTTTTGAAGATTTAAGTATAAACGACTTCTTGCCAGCTTCTGAAGGATATAAATCATCATCATTGATTACACCAGATTGTGCAAGACGATACTGCAGTGTTTCTGTAGAAAAATCATCGCAATTTCCTAATTCAGTAAATCCTACAATATAATCCTTAGTTTTACCATTCACAACTAGCATGATTGTAGGTATAATTTTAATCCGTAAACGTTCTGTAATGTTTAAATGTGTTATTATAAGGTAATAAATATATTGTTATATTTTAAAAATATACTTTAATAATACCAGTTAAAAATGGACATCTTTCGACATTTAATTTACAGAATCTTGCTTCAATGTGTTTTTTTGCAAGAATTTTGAAATGATAATCTACAATTTTACATCGTTGAGAATCATCTTTATAAAATAAGCAGATTATATTTTCTGATTTCTTTGATATTTCAAAGAATTCTTTTTCATTATATATCTCTGTATATTCTCCATGACCCTGCAATAATATATAATTATGGAATATATAATTTATACGTTATATTTTAATATACATTTTTATATTTCTTTTATTTAACACAAACATTGTACAATATTTTTTTGCAATGCAATATTATATATATAAAATAAATGTCAATATATATGCTAAATTTATCATAATACATTACCAAAGTCAGCCAATTCTGTTTTTGCTTTTGCATTTGTTTTAATTCATTTAATCTGTGTGTACGTATCTTCTCATAGTCACTGATATCCAAATTATCTAATTTTTCCAATTCTGCATCTAATTGTTGCTCAACATGATTGGCAACTTCTATGACTTTTTGTTGAAGTACAGCCTCCATTTTCTATTAATTAGAGAAATATTTGTACATGTCTTAAATTTTTACTAATGTAATTGAAAAATAATGAGACAAAAAGTTTTCAAAAATTATTAACATTAAATATGAAATAAAAAGAATATAATTAGAACAAACATAATTAATTTTTAAAGTTTCTCGCTTACATTTAATGACAAAATTATATTCTTTTATATAGTGACACCTTAATCAACTCTATTTTTAATTCACTATTCTTTTCTTCAACAGATTTTTACGTTTTGACAAGAGAAAGTATTACGATTTAATTCATTTCTAATGACCTCCAAAACTGAAGACACATTTACCATTTATGGCCATCACACATAAAATTCCATAAGCACATAAGACGTAAGCGTAAGGAAATCGACCAATCACGATCGAGTATTGGCCCCTCGGAAGGGCTAGTGCGAAAAGTGAGAATATTCGACAAGGGTCGCATTCAGCGGATTCAACCGCTAAGTAACAATCGAAAAATAATTGATTTCTACTTTTAGGTCCGACCAATCAGCGTCGAATTACATCGGAAAATCTAATAATGTTGCCCATGTTGCTGTTGAGTCTGCTGAATGCGGCCAAAGGCTGCGGTCAAGACAACGCTAAGGGCTCCTGCACACAGGACGCGGCAATACTTGCCGCGCGGCGGAAGCCGACGCGATAGCCAATACAAAAGTTGGATTGAGTTCAACTTTGGATGGATCGAAACTTTGGCTGCGGTCAAAGAAACTCTGAGGATGCTTTGAAGCATTTGACTGACCAACCAGGTTAAAGAAATCTTTATTCCTTTTACCCTGATTGGTCAATCAAACGCTCCAAAGCATCCGCAGCGTCTCCTTGACCGCAGCCTGTGATTGGTCAATCTCTTAAGGCTTAAGGCTTAAATTATCTATTGTAGATCCGGCCTAAAGTGAATTCAGATAACGCTACTGTACCAGCTAGGAAAAGCGTCGTATGAAAAGTCCCGGCGTAGTCCCTCTCAAACTTCTCCCTGCTGGTATAATGCCGGCTAGTATTGTTGGAAGTTGTCAAAGATAGTATTGTTGCCAAAATGGGTCCTGAATTTTCTATCATCTATATTTTATTGTTATCTGCATATGCAAGTGCGGACGCACAGCAACAAACGGAGGAAAGCTTAGTACAACTCAATGAGAATAATTGGGATCTTATGCTCACGGGAGAATGGATGATTGAATTGTAAGTTTAGCTATTTTCGAATTGATATTTATTTAACGTCATAGTTGATGGCGTGTCAAACAGTAATATTCGAATTTGATTGCTGTTAACGAACATTAATATATATATATTATGGAATATTAAATACAAAAATTAATCTATTTTAAGATAGATATATCTATTCTGAAATATATCTTTGTAATTTGTACTACAAAATTCTTTTTATATATTTACACTAATTTCTCGTATATATTTTATTAAATATTTATTAATGTTATACTATCAAAATACACACACATATATATATATATATATATATATATATATATATACATAGAGAGAGAATATTAAAATATGTGATAAAATAGGTGTTAAGTAAGTATTAAAGTATTATGATAAAAGCAGATAATCTCTCATGGGCATATGGAGCAGGTGAAAAAAACCTTAAAAGTTTCTATAAAATTTTTTTTCTGCAATACATCTATCGAGGTACTTGTCTTTAAAGTTAAAATTTAATTAAATACAAAAATTAATCTATTCTAAGATAGATAATCTATTCTGAAATATATCTTTGTAATTTGTACTACAAAATTCTTTTTATATATTTACACTAATTTCTCGTATATTTTATTAAATATTAATGTTACACTATTAAGATATATATATATATATACATATACATATATAGTATTAAAATATGTGATAATATAATATTAAAATATGTGATAAAATAGGTGTTAAGTAAGTATTAAAGTATTATGATAAAAGCAGATAATCTCTCATGGGCATATGGAGCAGGTGAAAATAACCTCATAAGTTTCTATAAAATTTTTTTTCTACAATGCATCTATCGAGGTACTTGTCTTTAAAGTTAAAATTTGAGAAACTTTTTCTGTAATTTTTATATCACTCTATAATTTAATAATTCGTAATAATAATTTTTATATATATTATAAATATTATAAATATTATAAATAAATTCTTTCTCCTAAAGTAGTAGATTTCATGACTATGCCGGAGACTAGTCAGGGACGGACTATCTGTAAGTCTTTTAACATATAAAACTTTCAAATTGATAATTCTTTTAAATATGTTTTTAAAATTTTCCATATCTTTTTTTTTAAATAATGTTACTCTTATTTTATTTGATTAAAATTTTAAAAATTCATTTATTTAGTAGAAATAAATCTTTATTTAGGATAAAACAATGATTGTATGAATATATTGTAGGATAAGATTTTTATAGAAATTTATGAGGTTATTTTGACCTATTCTACATGCCTATGAAGATTGTTTATCTTAACTGGAACCTCAGAGCCATATATATATATATATATATATATATATATATATATATATATATATACAGGGTGAGTTTTATTGCTTATGTACAATTAAAGCAAATTAAAAGTTGAAATTAATGTAGTATGGATTTATTACTATTATTATTATTATACTCATTATATTTGGGCCTACAATATGATCAATCCAAATAATTGACATTTATGTACCAATCAATTTATTATGTAGTCTGTTATCTCCTGCATGATAAAAAGATTGACACAAATAATAAAACTCACCCAGTATATATATATATATATGTGTGTGTGTGTGTGTGTGTGTGTGTGTGTGTGTGTGTGTGTGTGTGTGTGTGTGTGTGTGTGTGTGTGTGTATAAAATAAATTTTGTTAAAATTCCTACTATGTTATAATATATATTACAGTTATGCTCCATGGTGTCCTGCATGCAAAGCACTTGAACCAATCTGGGAGGATCTGGCATTATCAAAGAAGAACCTCAATATTAATGTTGGAAAAATAGACGTGACAGATTCTCCAGGTCTTAGTGGTAGATTTATGGTTACAGCTTTACCTACAATATTTCAGTAAGTTTATGATGTTTAAATATAATTTATATATTTATATATTATTTATTATTGTATATTTATATATGTATATTTATTATACATGTATTATTATACATTTATACATGTATATACATACATATATGTACATACATTTATACATGTATATGGATATATATATATATATATATATATATATATACATATATATATATATATATATTTAGAATTATATTTTCTTGTGATATGTATATTATCAATATTTCAGTAAATTTATGGTTTCTAAATATAATTTATATTGTACTTTCTATTGTTCTTTATATAGATAACTTTATATTAATAATTATGATAATATGTATGTTATCAATATTTAATTTATATTAAAATTATTAATGTTTTATAAAGATGTATAGTGTATTAACACACACATATATATATATATATATATATATATATATATATATACATATATATATATATATATATATATATATGTGTGTGTAATTTTGATTTTACATTTTAAAACTCAATCTTTATTTTTTAGTGTAAACAATGGGATATTTAGACAATATAGAAGTCCAAGGGATAAAGCCTCATTAATTGATTTTGTTTCTAAAAAGACATGGACAAAAGTTGATCCAATACCTAGTTGGAAAAGTCCAACTTCATTTCATATGTCAATTTTAAGTCAATTCTTTAAACTGTCTCAAGTATTACGAGTAAGTATATTTGTAAATGCATATATCAGTATGTAATCCTACATATGGTATCTCTTATTATAAATAACGATTTATTTTTATTTCCTAAATTAAAAATAATAAATTATAAGAAACATATAACAATTATATATAAATAATTATTAATTATTTATGAATTATATAATTATTTATATATAAATAATTACAATTATATATAAATAATTAAAACACTATTGTAAGTATAGATGTCATAAAAGCTATATTAGAGAATAGAAAAGTGTATATAATTTTTTTTATAATATGAATATTTTAATATGATATGCAAGTTGCTACTATTATTAGTTATAATACTCTATTAGATATTAGAACTATTATTAAAAACGAATAAAATTTATAATTTAATAGAATTATTTTAGAAATTGTACAAGGTTTATTAATTTAAAATTTTGCTGGTAACTTCTATCATTTTTCTTCAGCTACTAATGCAGAAGTTGCAGGATTAAGAAAAAATTGTATAATTTCAAAGCAATAAAATAACGTATATTTTATTTTTTACTTTGATTTATGCAAATTGTTATAGTAGTATAGTAAATTCTTATTTAATCACTTTCTTTTATTTTAGGGTATTCATAATAAACTTTTGGAAGATATTGGGTTACCTACATGGGGCAGTTATTTAATTTTTGCTGTTGCAACAATTATTTTAGGCGCAATATTAGGACTAGTAAGTGATACCTTTTGTAATATATGAATTTTATTTTATATGGATAACATAAATACAAGATTAACTATATTCATAATTATTCATATGCAGTTTATTGTATGCTTGATCGACTTTATTTATCCACCAAAACCTGCGCAACAACAAAGCAAAAAGAAACAAGATGGTGCATTGGATAATTCCATACATGAAAGAAATTTGTATGAGGATGAAATTGCTGAAAACGTTGGAGATGATTTAGTAGATGAAGAAGAATCTGAAGCAGAGGAATTTGAAAAAAAAGACACTGAGGTAAAGAAGCTTGAAACGAATGAAAAAGATAAGGATATTAAAACTGATACTAATAGTCCTAATGTTCGCAAGCGTAAGCCTCGCAAGGCTGATTAGAAATAAAATTTGTTTTATGTAAATATTTAACAATTATGAATCAATTAAGACTAACTTTTGTGGTATATTCCAAAATCATTTTTACATTGAGATTATATGTGTGATATGACATAATATTTCTCTCTTATATCTCAAAACTAGATAATTATATAGATTATTTAGAAAAACAATCACGTTTGCTTATATTAAAATTATATTATCTTATATTTACAAATTTAAGTGAAAGAAACTTCCTAAATTATCATTGTAAATGTTTTCTTATTTACAAATATATTTGAAGTCATAAAAATGAATATCTTAGGTGTTATTATTCATTAAAATTTTAGAACTTTATTTTAATAATAAGCAAAATATATTATGAATTTAATTTTTTAATGTTTTTAAGACTTAATCAAAGACTTAATAAAAAAATACATGTTGAAAAGATTTTCTTTTCTAGATCATAATAAATAAGTTTAATAAATATTTTGATTAGTAAGTTGTTTATTAGATGATAGTGCGTTCTCGAGTCTTCGAAATAGCTAAAATATTCTTTGAATTCTAAGGCACTTTTTACATATGTCTTTTTATAAAATGTTTAAGATTACAAAAAAGATTTGTATAATAAAATATTTGTATGAATTTGTTAAATATCATTATAACGAGAGAAATGTATCTTAAAAATATTTGTTAGTTTTCAAATGCTTTGTATTTTATATGAGAAAAAGAAAGAGTAAAACAAAAAGGAGGAAAAATATTAAGTAAGATTTATAAATCTAACAATATGTTTAATTATATCTTTATTATAAAATAAAAGCACATAGTAGTATTAATTACTTTAAAGATGCATTGTAAGATTATTAAATTATCATAAATCTATTTATTAATTATAGTTATGTGCATGTGATATATAACAATTATGTTACAAGTTTATATATTATATATTATACTGTCCTAGAGATTTAGCACACTACCTAATAATAATAAATTCTCGAGATTATTTAGAAATGAAAATTTATATATTAAAATGTCGATAATATAAGAATTTTTGAATGAGAAGCTTTTAAACTTGACCAAAAACATTGCCCAAAATTCGCACTTTTAGATGATACATGTGATAGCACATTAAGATGCTTTAAGATATCAATTCATTTACAACTATTAATATATTTTCACAATGATACAATGATACAATTATTTTTCAATGTTATCTGATTTTTTTTTATAATTAATTTGTTGCGCAAATTTGTTGATAATAATAACGGTATAAAAATGTAACAGAAACTTTGTTAAAATATATAAGGTGGGTCACAACTCGCGACCGAAATTTTACTGACATATTTCTCAGCAAAAACTAAAAGCAAAATATTAATACGAAAATATCGAGGCTATAAGGGCCAAACCATTGTGATCCAATTAGCCAACCATCTTAATGCTAATTAGTTCGCAATGGTTTGGGAACTGGCAACGGGATATTCGCAACGTTATCTGGAATGGCCGTAATACTTTTCAAATGAGAAACATAAATAGGCGAAAGGTAATCTAAACTTTGCACGCTCAGGGATGATATATTGTATAAAGCCGCTCTTACCTTTTTAATAAATCTACTATCAATTTCATTTCTATTATGACATTATATTTTTACTATACATATTACAATATATTTGTATAACAATATTTATTTTAAATTTATTACAACATATGTGTTCAAAATGCTTTCTGATTAATTCCACACATGTGTTCAAAATGCTTTCTGATTAATTCCACACAAAGACGTGCTCTATTAAATTGATTTTGACATTCCATATCATTTTATAATGGATATAATGCTATAATAGAAATAGAACTTAATAATAGATTTATTAAAAAGATCAGCAAGAGCGCTTTTATCTGTGCAATGTATTATCCCTGAGCACAAACTTTAGGTTACCTGAGTCGTCTATGTTATAATCTCAACATTTTTATATTAAGATTTTCATTTTAGTTTTTGCTCAGGAACACATTAAAATTTGGATTACAAGTTGCGGGATATCTTGTATATTAAAAAAACGTGCATATTAAGCTGTTAAAGTTGTCGTATGAAGTATATCATAGGTAAGTAATGTCTCTCGTGATAAAAATGTTGTAATTAATACAATTAATAAATTATCTGTTTTCTTTTCTTGATAACATAAAAAATTGGAATATATTAATAAAATAGAATTTTACATTTGTAATGTTATATTAAGTTACTATATAGTATGTTCATATATGATATATTCATGTTTAATACGTTTATATTTATAAAAAAAAAATATATATATATATATATATATATATATATAATTTAAGATATCAAATAGAATTTTTTTTATGTTGATAATTTACTTAAGAATAATTTGAGTAACAACATTATTTTATTACTGACATATATTTTTTTTAAATAAAACCTGGAAAGGCATGAGACTCTTTCCCTCTCCCTCCCTCCCTCTCTTTTGCCACACTCTCTCAACCCTACATTCTGCACGGACGTTCATCCCCGAATGTCTTTATTCTCGTTTTCAGTATATATATATATATATATATATATATATATATATATATATATATATTTCACATTCAATACAATTATTTTTAAAAAATATATGTCAGTAACAAAATAGTTGTTACTCAAATTATTTTTAGGTAAATTATCAACATAAAAAAATTCTATTTTAAAACATTTTTGTTATTGTATGATATATCATACTTAAAAGCGCAAACTTTGGGCAACCATATTGATTAATAGTACATATTTTCCTTTTAAAAACTGCATATTGTAGCTTCGATATTTTAATATGAAAATATCGTTCTCCACATGAATTCAATAATACACCAAGATAATGATATGTCAAGTCTGACAGCTTATATATTATGCTTTAAATATTTTTTTCCCTCTCTTTTTAAATATTTTATTATATTTAAAAGATTGATTGAAAAATAATTGGAGAATAATCACACACATCGATTGTTTTTATATTTTTCATACATACATTTTGATTGAAATAATTAAAATGTTTAAAATGTTATATTATAATTTAATATTTAATATAGAATTATCCGTGCATTTGTATAAAGAGAATTTTTTTTCTAAACAATTTTTAATTTTATTAGCACATATTACAACAATATTATTGTAATATTAACAATTATTTGTTTTTTAATCACTAATAGGGATAGGATTAGGTGGACATTGAATATGTATATAACTTTTATATAATTTTTTATAGTGTCTATTGTAGAAGAATATTCTATTTTTTTCGTTGAATATAATTGCTTTCTTTTATAGTAAGCTACAACAATTTCTATTACGATCTGATAAAATTAATTTATCATAGGAGATGCTATAGTATACAATGTAGTATACAATACTACTTTTTATAATACATTTTAAATTACATTTTTATAAAGGCCTACTTTAGCTTTCCATATTCCTATTTGAAATTCTTTTTCCGATTTTTATACAATATTATAAAAAGAAAGGATGTGTATTTATGTACACGCGCGTGTGTGTATGTAATATAATTATCTTCGTGAAAAAGTTCTTTCAAATCATTGTGGCAAGATATCTATGCATGTTGTGTAGAAACTATGAATAAATGAAGCTTCTGTTCTTTAAAAAAGTATGTATAATTATCAATTATTAACAATATTAAAATAATTTTATTTATAATTATCAATTATTAACAATATTAAAATAATTTTACTTATAATTTTCATATGTATTTTATATATACCTTTCTCATAAATATACTCTTTATATATTTACTTTAGTATAATTTTTACAATGAATTGCTATGCTATGTCTTCCGCAGCAATGTATAGTATGTAAGTGAATAAAATGGAATAAAATTTTCAAAATAACAATGACATGTATATTTATAAAAAAACAAACTTCTGATTATTTCTATTTAATATTATAATAATTTTATTTTATTTTATATAACTTTAATTTATACTTTATTGTTTAATCAGGTTCAAATTCACAATGGTATTGAATTCACATAAAATGGAATTAAATAATGAGAAATTTGTATTATACAAATATTAGATAAATATAATTGCTATACTAAAAATTTTATTGCATTAATTACCTATTATTAGATATTTATTTGTATATTTAAACTTAATTCGTATATTTAAACTTAATTTGTATATTTAAACTAATTAAATATTGTTTATGTGCGTGTGATGAATTGGAAAAGAAATTATTTTGAATAAATAAAATGCTTGAATTTTTGATGAATTTGTGAAAAGGAATTTGTAAAATTATTTATATTAATATTAAGCAAAAAAGTTTTATGAATAGAAATAATGATTTATAAATTTAATAATGTAACTCTCTAATAAAATTTTAATAAGTAATTTTTACTAATTTTTAAATAATTTTTTGAATTTTAATAATTTTATAAATTAAAAATAAGCTTGAATGAAATCAAATGCATGTATTTCCGGATCTTTTCAGACAATTTTATTATGTTATTAAATTAGATTCATTTTACTTATCAATGGATTGTGTGGCATCTATTTATTCAGTTTAATTTTAATACAATTCCAACAAGAAATGCAAAATATTAAGCTAATTGTTTCGAAACCGGATGAATCATTTCCTGTCTGTTAAAATAGAAAGTTAAGAATTTAACTCTCATATAAATAAAACGCGAGTCGGAATGCAATCAGTCGAATAGTGAATTAAATATTTATATATACCAAACCATGCATTCGTTCGATTAATTCGTTAAATATATATATATATATATATATATATATATATATATATATTTAACGAATTAATCGAACGAATGCATTCCGATTCATCTTTTCGTTTGGTATATATAAATATTTAATTCACTATTCGACTGATTGCGTTCCGACTCGCTTTTTTATTCGATACATATAAATATTACACTTAAGTGTGAGTCGAAGAAGCAGATTTCGGATATTCACTGTAAGTCAGCCGCTCCTCGGGCGATCGGGACGAGATTTAAACGATAGTGCCGCGAAATGGTGTAGAATTTTATGCAAAAAGAACGAAATCGCTATCGCGTTCGGAAGTCGAGATATAAATTGGCCGTTTTTTGTCTGCGTGCGGACGGTCGAAATCGTGCACGACATCGCGCATGTTGCCTGCCTCTTTCGCGCGATATTCACTGT